TTGCCACTGCACTCTAGCCTGGGCAACAGAGTGAGACGGTCTCAAAAAAAAGAAGAAAAAGAAAAATACAGAAACCATTCTTAGCTCACAGGCTGTGCAAAAACACACAGTGGCCAGGTTTGGTCCATAGGCTGTAATTTGCTGAGTCTTGGCCTAGACAATCATGTTGAGATTCTCCTCTCCCTCCTCAAACCTGCAACCCTTCTTCTTCCATTCTCACACTCAGTTGAGGACCTGGCTTCCTAGTCACTGAGAAAATTTAAGCAATCACAAGAGACCTTCCACAACCTATTTACCACATGCTATCTGCCAGCACCTCCACTCAACTATTCCCCCATCTTCCCATTACTGTGGATGAAACGTTTGAGCTATGTCCAGCCTGTCCGCTTGCTTGTGCCGTAGATCCAAACCTCTCTCACCCATTTGACAACCCTGTCTGGCTAGTCTTCCCTTTCTGTCCTTGCTTTTCACTGGATTATTCTCATCAACATACAAATAAATATACTGTCATCTTTAAAAAGCTGCTCTTGCCTGGCCTGGTAGCTCACACCGGTAATCCCAGCACTTTGGGAGGCAAAGGCCAGTGGATCACGAGGTCAGGAGTTCGACACCAGCCTGACCAACATGGTGAAACTCCATCTCTACTAAAAATACAAAAATTAGCTGGGCGTGGTGGCACGTGCATGTGGTCCCAGCTACTCGGGAGGCTGAGGCAGAAGAATTGCTTGAACCCGGGAGACGGAGGTTGCAGTGAGCTGAGATTGAGCCACTGCACTCCAGCCTGGGTGACAGAGTGAGATTCCATCTCAAAACAAAATAAAAACTGCTCGTTACTCCAACTCCCTTGCCAGCTACTTCTCCATCCCTTTACAACAAAACCCTATGAAAGATTTATCTTCATTCAATGTTTCCAACTTCTCTCCCATATTTTTTTTTCAAGACAGAGGTTTTTTGCTATTGTTGCCCAAGCTGGAGTGCAATGGCATGCTTTCGGCTCACGACAACCTCTGCCTCTCAGGTTCAAGTGATTCTCCCACCTCAGCCTCCTAAGTAGCTGGGACTACAGGCTTGTGCCACCATGTCCTGCTAATTTTTGTATTTTTAGTAGAGATGGGGTTTCTCCATGTTGATCAGGCTGGTCTCGAACTCCCAACCTTCTCAGGAAATCTGCCCACTTCAGCCTCCCAAAGTGGTAAGATTATAGGCATAAGCCACCGCGGCCGGCCTTCTCTCCCATTCTTTAAGTGAGATATAATTCACATAATATGAAAATCACCATTTTATTTATTTACTTTTTATTTTTATTTTTTGAGACAGAGTCTTACTCTGTAGCCCAGGCTGGAGTGCAATGGTGCGATCTTGGCTCACTGCAACTGCCACCTCCAGGGTTCGAGCAATTCTCTTACCTCAGCCTCCCAAGTAGCTGGGACTACAGGCACACACCACCATGCCCAGCTAATTTTTGTATTTTTAGCGGAGATGGTGTTTCACTATGTTGGCCAGGCTGGTCTAGATCTCCTGACCTTGTGATCTACCCACCTTGGCCTCCCGAAGTGCTGGGCTTATAGGCATGAGCCACCGTGTTCGGCCTTATTTTATTTTATTTTATTTTTTGAGATGGAGTCTCTGTCACCCAGGCTTGAGTGCAGTGGCATGATCTGGGCTCACTGCAACCACTATCTCCCGGGTTTAAGTGATTCTTCTGCCTCAGTCTCCCAAGTAGCTGGGATTATGGGCATGCGCCACCACCCTTGGTTAATTTTTTATTTTTATTAGAGACAGGGTTTCACCATGTTGGTCCAGCTGGTCTCAAACTCCTGACCTCAGGTGATCTACCTGCCTCAGCCTCCCAAAGTGCTGGGATTACAGGCGTGCACCACCACGCCCTGCTAATTTTGTATTTTTAGTAGAGACAGAGTTTTACCATGTTGGTCAGGCTAGTCTCGAACTCCTGACCTCAGATGATTCGCCCGCCTCGGCCTCCCAAAGTTTTGGGATTACAGGCGTGAGCCACCAGGTCCAGCCTAGCAGTCACTCTTTGATTCCCACTCTTCTCTCAGCCCTAGAAAACCAGTAATCTATTTTCCATCTCTGTGGATTTGCCTATTGTGGATATTTTATATAAACGGAGTCATAAAATATATAGCCTTTTGTGTCTGCTTTCTTTCACTTGGCATGTTTTCAAGGTTCATCCATGTTGTAGCATGAATCAGTACTTTTTTTTTTTTTTTTAAGAAATGAGGTCTCACTGCCGGGTGCGGTGGCTCACGCCTGTAATCCCAGCACTTTGGTAGGCCAAGGCGGGTGGATCACGAAGTCAAGAGATCAAGACCATCCTGATCAACATGGTGAAACCCTGTATCTACTAAAAATACAAAAAATTAGCCGGGCATGGTGGCGCGTGCCTGTAGTCCCAGCTACTCGAGAGGCTGAGGCAGGAGAATTGCCTGAACCCAGGAGGCAGAGGTTGCGGTGAGCCGAGATTGCGCCATTGCACTACAGCCTGGGTAACAAGAGCGAAACTCTGTCTCAAAAACAAACAAACAAAAAAGAAATGGGGTCTCACTGTATTGCCCAGGCTGGTCTATAACTCCTGAGCTCAAGCAGTCTTCCCACCTTGGCCTCCCAAAGTGCTGGAATTATAGGCATGAGGCACTGTGCCAGGCCAATATTTTATATTTTTTTAATAGAGACAGGGTGTCATTATGTTGCCCAGGCTTGTCTCCTTCCTTCCACGCTCCCTCCCTCCCTCCCTCCCTATCTCTCTTTTTTTTTTTAGATGGAATTTCAGTCTTGTTCCCCAGGCTGAAGTGCAATGGTGAGATTCCAGCTCACCACAACCTCCGCCTCCCGGGTTCAAGCATTTCTCCTGCCTCAGCCTCCTGAGTAGCTCGGATTACAGGCATGCACCACTACGCCTGGCTAATTTTTGTATTTTTAGTAGACATGGAGTTTCTCCACGTTGGTCAGGCTGGTCTCGAACTTCTGACCTCAGTGATTCACTAGCCCTGGCCTCCCAAAGCGCTGGAGTGAGCCACCACACTTGGCCTGCCCCTCCCTGCCTTCCTTTCTCTCTTTCTTCTTTTTTTAAATTTTTTTAATTTTTTTAATTTTTTAATTTTTTTTAGAGACCGGGTTTCACCATGTTGGCCAGGATGATCTCGATCTCTTGACCTCATGATCCACCCGCCTCGGCCTCCCAAACTGCTGGGATTACAGGCATGAACCACCACACTTAGCCTCTTCTTCTTTTTTTTTTTTTTTAAGACAGAGTCTTGCTCTCTTGCCCAGGCTGGAGTTCAGTGGTGCGATCTTGGCTCACTGCAACCTCCTCTTCTGGAGTTCAAGCAATTCTTCTGCCATAGCTTCCTGAGTAGCTGGGACCACAGGCTTGTGCCACCACACCTGGCTAATTATTTTTTTTTTTTTTGCTTTTTTTAAACTTTGGTTTTTTGCTTGCTTTTTTGAAACACAGTCTCGCTCTGTCACCCAGGCTGCAGTGCAGTGGCACGATCTTGGCTCACTGCAACCTCTGCCTCCTGGGTTCAAGTGATTCTCCTTCCTCAGCCTCCCGAGTAGCTGGGATTACAGACATGCACCACGATGCCTGGCTAATTTTTGTATTTTTAGTAGAGATGGGGTTTCACCATGTTGGCCAGGCTGGTCTCCAACTCCTGACCTTAAGTGATCCGCCTGCCTTGGCCTCCCAAAGTGCTGGGATTACAGGGATTACAGGCATGAGCCACTGCACTCAGCCAATATTTTGTTCTTATGGGACAAGAATAGTTGCTGTGGTTTGGATACTTGTCCCCACCCAAATCTCATGGAAATATAATCCCCAATGTTGGAGGTAGGGCCTGGTGGGGTGTTTGGGTTATGGGGCGGATCCCTCATGGCTTAGTGCTGTCCTCTCCATAGTGAGTTCTTACAGATCTGGTTGTTGTGAAGTGTGGCACCTCCTCCCCACACTCACTTTCTTGCTCACTCTGTGATGCGAGATGTCTGGTCCTGCTTCACCTTCTGCCATGAGTAAAAGCTACCTGAGGCTTTCCCAAAAGCCAAGCAGATACCAGTGCCACACTTCCTGTACAGCCTGCAGATCTGGGAGCCAATTACATCTCTTTTCTTATGAATTACCCGGTCTCAGGTATTTTTTTTTTCTGAGATAGAGTCTCACTCTGTTGCCCAGGCTGGAGGGCAGTGGCATGATCTCGGCTCATTGCAGCCTCCACCTTCCTGGGTTCAAGCAATTCTCCTGCCTCAGCCTCTTGAGTAGCTGGAATTACAGGTGTGAGCTACCACGCCTGGCTAATTTCTGTATTTTTAATAGAGGCAAAGTTTCATTATGTTCGCCAGGCTGGTCTCAAACTCCTGTCCTCAAATGATCTGCCCGTCTCGGCCTCCCAAGGTGCTGGGATTACAGGCATGAGCCACTGCGCTCAGCCAGAAGTTTCTTTATAGCAATGCAAGAACAGCCTGTATTAGTCTGTTTTCATGCTGCTGATAAAGACATACCTGAAACTGGAATGAAAAACAGGTTTTAATGGACTCACTGTTCTACGTGGCTGGGGAGGCCCCACAATCTTGGGAGAAGGCAAGGAGGAGCAAGTTATGTCCTACATGGATGGCAGCAGGAACAAAAGAGCTTGTGCATGGGAACTCCTATTTATGTAACCATCAGATCTTGTGAGATTTTTTCACTATCATGAGAACAGCACAGGAAAGACCTGTCCCCACGATTCAGTTGCCTCCCACTGGGTCCCTCACACACCACCTGAGAATTCAAGATGAGATGTGGGTGGGGACACAGCCAGACAATATCAGGCCCAATATAGGAGTGAACCATGAACTGATCTTCCCTGGTGGACAAAACAAAGGCATGCTAGAAACTAACATCATTCATCCCCTTTTTGTACTTCCAAGAGGTTAATTCAGTATCAAAAAATTTCTCAAAACTCACAGCTACTTAGTGAAGTTAATAAACACACTTAGCTTCATACTTGAATGTTGTTACTATTTATTTCATCAGTACAAGCTGAGGCTAAAAGTTGCTGTTTAACAGGAACAGCCAATGGTGCAGTTTCCTTCCTGGAGAGGGTATGCACTCACATCATGGGACCTAAGATCAAACACACATGAGATCGTCAACAGTCAAACCAATACTACACTTTTACCTATTAATAGAAAAAAAACTGAAGACAAAACGAGATGTTTCAAAATATTCTTCATGCTAAGCTCACGTAAGCAAACAAAAAACTAAAACTAATCCTAAAACTTTAGAACATTAGACGCAGAAATAACATGACTATTTAAATTTTTGCATCAACAAAAGTTTGTTGTTCTATCCTTCCCTGTACTTACTACAAGGACATGCTTCTTGCTTCTACACTACACAAAGTCAACAGTTATCATCAACAATGAAATAGAACTAGACTGGAACAAACAGGCGTGATGGCTCATGCCTGTACTCCCAGCACTTTGGAAGGCCAAGGTGGGAGGATCACCTGAGGTCAGGAGTTCAAGACCAGCATGGCCAACATGGTGAAAACCCCTTCTCTACTAAAAATGTCCGTAATCCCAGCTACTCGGGAGGCTGAGGCAGGAGAATCACTTGAACCCAGGAGGTGGAGGTTGCAGTGAGCAGACATTGCACCACTGCACTCCAGCGTGGACAACAGAGTGAGACACTGTCTCAAAAAAAAAAAAATCCAGAAAGAAAATTCAATTCAGGACAAACAACAGCTTTTGATTTAGAACCAGCTCTTACTTTTCTCTCGTGTCACACGTGATTAAGTCCTCATCTGATATTCCCCCCTGCAAATTGCAGTGCATGTCCTCACCTTCACCTTTTTCTGACACTTTAAAATTAATTTGTGGAAATTACAAAAACAATGAAATTGTACTTCCAATTCTGAACCACCAATCCAATTCCTGCTTTGATGCAAAACTTACTCCTCTGCAGTGTAACCCACCAGTACATCTACCCCCCTTTCTCTCTATTCTTTGCCCTGAAGGCACTTCTGGATTGCTTAAGTGTGCTCTTTGGCTACCTTGACAGTCAGGACACCTAAGGCCATCTGGACTTATCACTCTCTTCCTCCTTCTTTTCTTTGGTTAATATCACTTTCCTGCTTTCTTTCTACTGCTGAATCTCCAGACTAGGTGCTGCCATCAGGGCTCAAGCGTCAACCTAGGCTTTGAGCTCCTGGATGGCTAACCTGCATCCCCAGAGGATCCTGAAGTACAACGAAATATGTTACTGTTACAAACAATGCTACTCAGCATTTACATAGGATTTTCTAAGTCCTAAGTTATGTATTAATATATACTACACCGAAGTCTTTAAAAACCAAAGTGAGGGTATGGTAAATGACAGCTTGCCCACCGCTTCTCTCCATCTCCAAAGAAAAGCAATCATTTCACAATTATTATTTTATAAGTCTGGTCAATTTCTTTTTTGTCTGGAGACATGGTCTCATGGTGTTACCCAGGCTAAAGCAGAAGTGGCATGATCGCAGCTCACTGCAGCCTCGACATTCCAGACTCAAGCAATCATCCCATCTCAGCTCTCTAGTAGCTGGGATTGCAGGTACTCTCTCACACTGGCCTAAGTTTTAAAATTTTTAGTAGAGATGGGGTCTCCCTATGTTATCCAGTCTGGTCTTGAACTCCTGAAGTTAAGTGATCCTCCTGCCATGGCCTCCGGAATGCTAAGAGACGGGGTTATGCCATGTAGGCCTGGCTCGTCTCCAACTGCTGACCTCAAGTGATCTGCTTGCCTCAGCCTCTCCAAGTGCTGGGGTTATAGGTATAAGCCACTGTGCCTGGTCTATAGTTATCAAGGACATGAAATTACGCTTTATGAGGAAGTGGTCCTTACCCCCCTTGCCTGCAACATAAGAAATGAGAGCAAGGGAGCAAAGTAGAAGAAAGGCGGTGCTGGGAAAGGATATCAATTTAAGATGGGTTTTAAAAATCGCTTAGCAGGAGGGAGGGCGCTCCTGTGGTTTTGCCAGTTGATCTGGTTGAGGGATTTTCTCCAGCAACACTTGCAGCTTAGGGGCAGGAGGCTCCCACTCCACCCCGTGCTACTACGACCCTTCTGACATCGTGCATCATGATCTGACTACTGCTACTTGTCTCTTGCCAACACTGAAACATGAGTTCCACAGGCACAAGGATTTATTTGAATCCCTGACCTCCAGGGCTGGACACACAGTCAGTGATTGGTACATGTTTGCTAAATGAATGAGCCAGTGGAAGAAATTTAAGAGGATGGAGTGCGGAAGTGCAGTTTACCCAGAGCTGGACAGGCAAGGCAAGTAGACCAAAAGAGGGAGAGGCTGACATAGACAGCCTTGAGGTGGCTGGCGACAGGCTAGACAAAGAGGCAAGCGGTATCAACTCACGCCTGGTGGTTCATGAGCGTTGCTTCTCCTAAGGCCGACTCCTCTAACCTCTACCCTGGGTTCCATTTTCATCTACCTTTGCAGGAAGCCTACACTATTAGTTGTCTTTTTCTCTTAGGTGGTCATCCTTCTAGAGATTTCCTTTTGGCTTCTAAACTTACTTTTTTATATTTAAAATACTGCTTCATTAACACTATTAACCTATGTATCTCCATTTCTTTCACAGCTGTATTAGTCTGTTTTCACACTGATAGAAATACCTGAGACTGGGTAATATCTAAAGAGAAGAGGTTTAATTGACTCACAGTTTCAAATGGCTCAGGAGGCCTCAGGAAATTGACTACTATGGCAGAAGGTGAAGCTGGCATGTCTTACATTTTAACAGGCGAGGCAAATTGCGAGCACAGGAAAAACTGCCACTTTTAAGACCATCAGATCTCCTGTGACTTACTATCAGGAGAACAGAAAGAGAGAAACCGCTCTCCTAATCCAATCATCTCCTACCAAGTTCCTCCTTTGATACATGAGGATTACAATTCAAGGTGAGATTTGGGTGGGGACACAGAGAGCCCAACCATATAAATAGCCATATGAGAAGTCTTCAAAAAGTCCATGGGAAATATGTATTATTAAGAAACTACGCATGGATTGCAAAACCTTTTAAGGACTGGGCGTGGTGACTCACACCTGTAATCCCAGCATTTTGGGAGGCTGAGACAGGTAGATCACTTGAGGTCAGGAGTTTGAGACCAGCCTGGCCAATATGGTGAAACCTCATCTCTACGAAAAAAGACAAAAATTAGCCAGTCGCGGTGGTGCATATTTGTAATCCCAGCTATTCAGGAGGCTGAGGCAGGAGAATCACTTGAACTCAGGAGGTGAGGTTGTAGTGAGCTGAGATGGCACCACAGCCCTCCTGGCTGGGTGACAGAGTGAGACTTCATCTGAAAAACAAAATATTTTTGCACCAGAATAAACTGGGTACTAACAAGTTACAGGATCTAGTTTGAGGCATTAAAAAGGAGAGGTAATCAGTTTGAACAGAGCTCCAATCAGAGCAAAATGAATTCTGCTAAAATTGAAGGGACAACAACAAACATCACATTTAGGGGGATGCTTGCGTGGAAGAATGGTAAAATCACTGCTGCTTTATGAAAAGTTTATGGGGACAATGCAGCTAAAGAAATCAGCAGTTTACAAATAGTTAACTTGTAAGAAAGGACAAGACAATGCTGAAGATGAAGCCTGCAGCAACAGGTTATCCACATCAATTTGTGAGAAAAGAATTAATCTTCTTTGTGCCCTAATTTGGAAGGACCAAAAATTAACAGCAAAAACAACACCATAGACATCGCAATTGGTTCAGCTTACACAATTCTGACTGAAAAATTAAAAGCTGAGCAAACTTTCCACTTGATGAGTGCCAAAACCAGATCAGCTGCAGACGAGAGCAGAGCTTTCAATGGAAATTTTAAACAAGTGGGATCTATTAGGTTGCTGCAAAATTAATTGCGGTTTTTGCCATTGAAAGGAATGTCAAAAACCACAATTACTTTTGCACCAACCAATAGATTATGAAGCATCTATTGGGAAAGTGTAACAGGAGGTGAAACGTGGCTTTCGGAGTATGACTCTGAAGACACAGCACAATCGAAGTGATGACTCCGAACAGGTGGAAGTGGTCCAATCAAAGAGAAGTGGACTGGCCAAGAGCAAAGGTCATCACAATAGTTTTTGGAGCTGCTCAAGAAATTTTGCTTGTTGACTTTCTGGAGGGCTGAAGAATAATAAAATCTGCTTAATGTGAGAGTGTTTTGAAAAAGCCAAAGCTTTAGCAGAAAAAATGCCCAGGAAAGCTTCACCAGAGAATCCTTTTCTACCATGGCAAAGCTTCTGCTCATGCCTCTCATCAAACAGGGAAAATTTTGAGTTTCAATGGGAAACCAGTATGCATCCACCCTACAGCTGGGATTTAGCTCCTTCTGACTTCTTTTGGTTTCCTAATGATAAAAATAGCTGTAAGTGGAACCATTTTCTTCCAGTTAATAATGTAAAAAAGATGGCACTGATGTAAATTCCCAGGACCTCCAATTCTTTGGGGATGGATAAAATGGCTAGTATCTAATTGCTTTGAGCAAGAGACAAAAATAAATAAACAAATGGCTAGTATCCTTGCTTACTTGTTGTAAGCAAAGTGTCTTGATCTTGATGGATCTTATGATAAGAAGTTAATATTTTTTATCTTTTATTTCTATTTCCCACAAGTTTTTTTTTTTTTTTGAGACAGAATCTGGCTCTCTGTCACCCAGACTGGAGTACAGTGACGTGATCTCCACTCGCTGCAACCTCTGCCTCCTGGGTTCAAGCGATTCTCCTGCCTGAGTCTCCTGAGTAGTTTGTACTAAAGGTGTGCACCACCACACGTGGCTAATTTTTTTTTTTCTATTTTTTAGTAGAGATGGGGTTTTGCCATGTTGGCCAGGCTGGTTTTGAACTCCTGACCTCAGGTGGTCCACCTGCTTCGGCCTCCCAAAGTGCTAGGATTACAGGAGTCAGCCACTGCACCTGGCCTCTGTTCTTTTAAAAACCCATAATGCTGGACACAGTGGCTCACACCTATAATCCCAGCACTTTGGGAGGCTAAGGTGGGCAGAATGCTTGAGCCCAAGAGTTTGAGACCAGCCTGGGCAACATGGCAAAACCCTGTTTCAACAAAAAATATAAAATTTAGCTGGGCATGGTGGCCCATGACTATAATCCCAGCTACTCAGGAGGCTGATGTGGGAGGATCAACTGAACCCAGAAGGTCAAGGATTCAGTGAGCTGTGATTGTGTCGTTGCAATCCAGCGGTGGTGACAAACAGAGACCTTACCTCAAAAGAAAAAAAAAATCCAGGCTGGACAGAGTGGCTCACGCCTGTATTCCCAACCCATTGGGAGGTTTAGGTGTGCATATCACGTGAGGTCAGGAGTTGGATACCAGCCTGGCCAACACGGTGAAACGCTGTCTCTACTAAAAATACAAAATTAGCCATGCGTGGTGCCAGGCTACTTGGGAGGTGGAAGCAGGACAATTTCCTTAATTCGGGAGGTAAATGTTGCAGTGAACCGAGATGGCACCACTGCATTCCAGTCTCGGCGACAGAGCAAGACTCCCTCTCCAAAAAAAAAAAAAATCTATCTAGGAATTCATTGTAAGCCATGATTCTTTCTGACAATTACACATTTATACGTTCAGGAGAATGTGAAGGAGGCCTCAGAGTAGAATTAAGGATCCACAGACTTTTGAAGTTCCCTGGTACTTCTTTAAAAAGTTGTATACATTGTTTCCTTTCTCAACCCAATCTGGCTTCCCTGCGCCATAACTCTAGGTCATCAATGATCTGTAAGTCACTGAATGCTATGGCCTTTGTCAAGTATCATGCTTGACCATTCAGCAGCATCCAACCCTGCTGACGATGCCGCTTCCTTGAAACACTTTTCTCTTGAATTAAGTAACCCAGAGTCCTCTGGTTTTTCTCCTACTCTCTGGCTACTCCTTCTCTGTCTTTGTAGATACATTTCCTTACCTCTGTGTAATGTTAGTTTTTCGAGGCACGGCCCTAGATCTGCTTCTCTTCTTTTTCTCTGCCCCTAAAGTGACAGAATCCACGGCCATGACTTCAATGGCCACCTAAAAACAGATGAATTCCAAATCCTTACATCCACTTCCCACCTGCCATTCACAAAACAGGGTTTCTGTCACCTTTAGGTCATCAGTTTCATTAGTTCACTAATGAAATCACAATTGCCAAATCCAATGAACACTTTCGTTTCTTCTCTTCCTTAACCTTTCTGTGGCATGGGTTGTCCTTCTTGAAATTTTCCCTTCCCTTAGGATTCTCGCTCAGTTAAGAATCATTCACTTTCAATAATTTTTGGTGGCTCTTGTACCTGTCTCTTGGGCTACCTGTTTCTAAAAGCTGGGCAAACATAAAGTGGTGATTAAGTAAGTAAAGGCAAACATGCCATGTTAGGAAGGGCTGGCAGGATGAATGAAAATCAGGCAAAAGCTCGAGGATGTTGTCTAAACATTTTGTTTTTATGAGACCAGAACAGTTGACGTAGTATGGATATTTGTCCCCACCCAAATCTCATGGAAATATAATGCCCAGTGTTGGAGGTGGGGCCTGGTGGGGTGTTTGGGTTATGGGGCGGATCCCTCATGGCTTAGTGCTGTCCTCTCCATAGTGAGTTCTTACAGATCTGGTTGTTGTGAAGTGTGGCACCTCCTCCCCACACTCACTCTCTTGCTCACTCTGTGATGTGAAATGCCTACCCTTGCTTCACCTTCTGCCATGAGTAAAAGCTCTCTGAGGCCTCCCAGAAGCTGAGCAATCTGAGATGCCTCGCTTGTACAGCCTGCAGAACTGTGAGCCAAATAAATCTCTTTTTTTTTTCTTTTTTCTTTTTTTTTTTTGAGACGGAGTTTCGCTCCTGTTACCCAGGCTGGAGTGCAATGGCACAATCTCAGCTCACCGCAACCTCCACCTCCTGGATTCAGGCAATTCTCCTCCCTCAGCCTCCTGAGTAGCTGGGACTACAGGCACGTGCCACCATGCCCAGCTAATTTTTTGTATTTTTAGTAGAGACAGGGTTTCACCATGTTGACCAGGATGGTCTCGATCTGTTGACCTCGTGATCCACCCACCTCAGCCTCCCAAAGTGCTGGGATTCCAGACATGAGCCACTGCACCCGGCCCTCTTTTTTTTTTTTTTTTTTTTTTGAGACAGAGTCTCTCTCTGTCTCCCAGGTTGGAGTGCAGTGGTGTAATCTTGGCTCACCGCAAACTCTGCCTCCTGGGTTCGAGGGATTCTCCTCCCTCGGCCTTCCGAGTAGCTGGGATTACAGGCATGTGCCACCATGCCTGGCTAATTTTTTTGTATTTTTAGTAGAGACAGGTTTCACCATGTTGGCCAGGCTGGTCTCGAACTCCTGACATCAACTGATTCTCCCACCTCGGCCTCCCAAAGTGCTAGGATAACAGGCATGAGCCACTGCGCCTGGCCAAACCTCTTTTCTTATCAACTACCCAGTCTCAGGTATTTCCTTACAGCAATGCAAGAATGGCCTAATATAGGAGTGAACCGTGAACTGATCATTCCCTGGTGGACAAAGCCATGCTAGTGAAGGAAGAAACTAACATCATTCATCCCCTGTCAATACTTCTAAGAGGTTAATTCAGTATCAAAAAATTAATTTCTCAAAACTCACAGCTATTTAGTAAAGTGACTTACCACACTTAGCTTCATACTTGGATGCTGTTACTATTTATCAACATCACAACAAAACAAGCTGAGACTAAAAGTTGCCATCTAACAACAACAGACATTGGTTCAGTTTCCCTCCTGGAGAGGGTATGTGCTCAGATCACGAGACCTGAGATAAAACAACCTAGATTGTCAAGAATCCAACAAGGACTACATCTTACCTCTTGATAGAAAAAATGCTGAAGGAAGACAAAATGAGATGTTTACAAATATTCCTCATGCTAAGCTCATAAAAGCAAATAAAAAACTAAAACTAATCCCAAAACTTTAGGACATTGGATACAGAAGTAACATGACTATTTAAATGTTTGCATCAATGAAAGTTTGTTCTATCCTTCCCTGTACTTGTGCTACAAGGACACGCTTGTGACTTCTACACTACCCAGAGTCAACAGTTATCATCAGCAATTCAGTATAACTAGAGGGGAACAAGGCTTCAAAGCGACTCTGCTCCACCAAAATTCAGAAATTCAATTCAGGATGAACAGCAGCTTTTGATTTTAGAAACAGGTCTTACTTTTCTCTCGTGTCACAGGTAATGAACTCCCTGCAAATTGCAATGCATGTCCTCACCATTACCTTTTTCTGACACTTTAAAGTTAATTTATAAAAATTGCAAAAACAATGAGATTATAATTTCAATTCTGACATCTGATCAGATTCCTGCTTTGAGGCAAAACTTACTCCTCTGGTATATACTCCTCTCCTCTTCTCTCTCTCTCTCTCTTTTTTTTTTTTTTTTTGGAGACAGAGTCTTGCTCTGTTGCCCAGGCTGGAGTGCAGTGGCAAGATGATGGCTCACTGGAACCTCTGCCTGGCAAGATCATGGCTCACTGGAACCTCTGCCTCCTGAGTTCAAGCAATTCTCCTGCCTTAGCCTCCCAAGTATCTGAGACTACAGGTGCCTGCCACCACGCCCAGCTAAATTTTGTATTTTTAGTAGAGACAGGGTTTCACCATGTTGGCCAGGCTGGTCTCAAACTCCTGACCTCAGGTGATCCATTCACCTTGGCCTCCCAAGGTGCTGGGATTACAGGCATGAGCCACCACACCCGGCCTCTCCTCTTCTTTTGTATGGCTAATACCACTTTCCTGCTTTCTTTCTAGTGCTGAATCTCCAGACTTGGTGCTGTCTTCAGGGTACCAGAGTCGACCTTGGCTTCGAGCTCCTTGTTGGTAACGTTGCATCTCTGGATAATCCTGAAGTACAATGACATATGTTACTGTTACAACAATGCTACTCAGCTTTTACATGGGATTTTCAAGTCATAACTTGTATGTTAATATATACTAAAGCCCAGTTATTTAAGACCAAAAATGTGAAGGCATGGTAAATGACACCTTGACCACTTCTTCTCTCCATCTCCAAAGAAAAGAAATCATTTCACAATTATTATTTTACAAGCCTAGTATAAGTTCCTTTTTTTGAGACATGTTCTCATTTTGTCACCCAGGCTGAAGTGCAAATGGCAAGATTGTGGCTCACTGCAGCCTCAACATACCAGACACAAGCAATCCTCCCACCTCAGCTCCCTAGTAGTTGGGATTGCAGGCACGCTCTGTCACATTGGGCTAAGTTTTAAAAATTTTTAATAGAGATGGGGTCTCTCTATGTTATCCAGGCTGGTCTTGAATTCCTGAAGTTAAGTAATCCTCCCACCTTGGCCTCCGAAATGCTAAGATTACCTGCATTAGCCATCATGCTTGGCCCATTTCTTTCTTTCTTCTTCTTTCTTTCTTTCTTTTTCTTCTTTCTTTTTTTGTGACAGAGTCTCGCTCCGTTGCCCAGGCTAGAGTTAGTGGCCAGATCTCAGCTCACTGCAACCTCCAGCTCCCAAGTTCAAGCGATTCTCCTGACTCAGCCTCTGGAGTAGCGGGGATTATAGGTGAGTGCCACCACGCCTGGTTAATTTTTCATATTTTTAGTAGAGACAGGGTTTCACCGTGTTGGTCAGGCTGGTCTCGAACTCCTGACCTCGTGATCCACCCATCTCAGCCTCCTAAAGTGCTGGATTACAGGTGTGAGCCATGGCGCCCCGCCTTCTTTTTTTTTCTTTTTTTTAGACAGAGTTTTGCTCTTGTTGCCCAGGCTGGAGTGCAGTGGTGCAATCTTGGCTCACTGCAACCTTTGCCTCTCAAATTCAGGCAATTCTCCTGCCTCAGTCTGCCGAGTACTGGAACTACAGGTGCACCCCAACATGCCCGGCTAATTTTTGTATTTTTAGTAGAGACGGGGTTTCACCATGTAGGCCAGGTTTGTCTCCAACTGCTGACCTCAAGTGATCCACCAGCCTTGGCCTCCCAAAGTGCTGGAATTACAGGCATGAGCCACTGTGCCTGGCCTATAGTTATCAAGGACATGAAATTATGCCTTATGAGGAAGTGGTCCTTACCCCCCTTGTCTGCAACATAAGAAATGAGAGCAAGGTGGCAAATTAGAAGAAGAAAGGTGGCGCTGGGAAAGGATATCAATTTAAGATGGGTTTTAAAAATCGCTTAGCAGGAGGGAGGGCGCTCCTGTGGTTTTACCAGTTGATCTGGTTGAGGGATTTTCTCCAGCAACACTTGCAGCTTAGGGGCAGGAGGCTCCCACTCCACCCCGTGCTACTACGACCCTTCTGACATCGTGCATCATGATCTGACTACTGCTACTTGTCTCTTGCCAACACTGAAACATGAGTTCCACAGGCACAGGGACTTATTTGAATCCCTGACCTCCAGGGCTGGACACACAGTCAAGGATCGGTACATGTTTGCTAAATGAATGAGCCAGTGGAAGAAATTTAAGAGGATGGAGTGCGGAAGTGCAGTTTACCCAGAGCTGGACAGGCAAGGCAAGTAGAACAAAAGAGGGAGAGGCTGACATAGACAGCCTTGAGGTGGCTGGCGACAGGCTAGACAAAGAGGCAAGCGGTATCAACTCATGCTTGGTGGTTCATGAGCGTTGCTTCTCCTAAGGCCGACTCCTCTAACCTCTACCCTGGGTTCCATTTTCATCTGCCTTTGCAGGAAGCCTACACTATTAGTTGCCTCTTTCTCTTGGGTATTCATCTTTCTAGAGATTTCCTTTTGCTTCTAAACTTACTTTCTCCTATTTAAAATACTGCTTCATTAACATCATTAACCTAGGTATCTCCATTTCTTTCACAGCTGTATTAGTCAGTTTTCATACTAGCAGAAAAAATACCCGAGAGTGGGTAATATATATAGATAAGAGGTTTAATTTATTTTTTTAATGAGATGGAGTCTCCCTCTTGTCACCCAGGCTGAAGTCCAATGGCACGATCTTGGTTCACTGCAACCTCCACCTCCCAGGTTTAAGTGCTTCTCCTGCCTTAGCCTCCTGAGTAGCTGGAATTATAGGCAGGTGCCAGCACGCCCAGCTAATTTTTTGTATTTTTAGTGGAGATGGGGTTTCGCCATGTTTGCTAGGCTGGTCTTGAACTCCTGACCTCAAGTGATCCACCTGCCTTGGCCTCCCAAAGTCCTGGGATTACAGATGTGAGCCATTGTGCCCAGCCGAAAAGGTTTAATTAACAATTCCATGGCTGCCCCCAGGAAAGTTTCCTCAGGAAGCTTATAATCATGGCAGAAGGGGAAGCGGACACATGTTACATGGCAGCAGACTAGAGGTGAAGTGTGAGCATAGGAAGAACTGCCTTGTTTAAAACCATCAGATCCTGTGAGACTCACTCACTGTCACAAGATTAGCCTGCGGGAAACTGCCCCCACAATCCAATCACCTCCCACCAGCTCCTCCCTTGACACATGAGGATTACAATTTAAGATGAAATTTGGGTGGGGGCACAGAGCCCAATCATATCAACAGCCATATAAGAAGTCTTCAAAAAGTCCATGGAAAATGTGTATTATCGAGAAATTACGCATCGATTGCAAAATCTTTCAGCACCAAAATTAATTGGTACTAACTCGTTAAAAAATATCTCAAAGGATGTAGTTTGAGATATTAAAAAGGAGACGTCATCAGTTTGAAAAAGGCCCCTATCAGAGCAAAATGAATTCTGCTAAAATTGAAGGAAGAACAAACATAGAATTTAAGGTGAGGCTTGAGTAGAAGAATGGAGAAATCACTAATGCTTTACCAAAAGTAAAGCAATGTCCCTAAAGGAATCAGCAGTCTACATATGGATAACTTGTAAGAAGGGACATGATGAGGTTGAAGATGAAGCCTGCAGCAGCAGGTCATCCACATCAATTTGCATGGAAAAAAATTAATCCTCTTTGTTCTCTAACTGAAACGCATTGGCCAGACATGGTGGTTTACCCCTGTAATCCCAGTGTTCTGGGAGGCCAAGGCGAGTGGATCACCTGAGTTCAGGAGTTTGAGAACACCCTGGCCAACATGGTGGAACCCCATCTCTACTAATAATATAAAAATTAGCCAGGCATTGTGGCAGGTGCCTATAATCCCAGCTACTTGGGAGGCTGAGGGTAGGAGAATTGCTTGAACCCGGGAAGCAGAAGTTGCAGTGAGTGAGCCAAGATCCCACCATTGCACTCCAGCCTGGCAAACAAGAGTGAGACTTCATCCCCCTCCCCTGCAAAAGAAAACAAAAAAATGTCCAGGCTGGGTGCAGTGACTCATGCCCGTAATGCCAGCACTTTGGGAGGCCAAGGCAGGTGTATCACCTGAGGTCAGGAGTTCGAGACCAGCCTGGCCAACAGAGTGAAAACCTGTTGCTACTAAAAATACAAAAATTCACCAGGTGTGGTGGTGGGTGCCTATAATCCTAGCTACTCGGGCGGCTGAGGCACAAGAATTGCTTCAACTCGGTTGGCAAGGTGGCTGATGCCTGTAATCCCAACACTTTGGGAGGCCGAGGAGGGCAGATCATGAGGTCAGGAGTTCAAGAGCAGCCTGATCAACATGGTGAAACCCCGTCTGTTCTACAAATACAAAAATTAGCTGGGCGTGGTGGCGCGTGCCTGTAATCCCAGCTACTCAGGAGGCTGAGACAGGAGAATCGCTTGAACCCGGGAGGCAGAGGTTGCAGTGAGCCAAGATTGTGCCACTGCACTTCAGCCTGGGCGACAGAGTGAGACTCCACCTCAAAAAAAAAAAAAAAAAAAAAAAGAACTGCTTCAACTCAGAGGGTGGAGGTTGTAGTGAGCCAAGATCAGGCCACTGCATTCTACCCTGGGCAACAGAATGAGACTTCATGTTAAAAAGAAAAAAAAAAAAAAAAAAAAAGCCAGGCGCAGTGGCTCATGCTTGTAATGCCAGCACTTTGGGACTTTGGGAGGCTGAGGCGGGCGGACCACCTGGAGTTGGGAGTTCAAGACCAGACTGACGAACATGGAGAAACCCCATCTCTACTAAAAATAGAAAAAATTAGCTTGGCGTGGTGTCACATGCCTATAATCCCAGTTACTCAGGAGGCTGAGACAGGGGAATCACTTCAACCTGGGTGCCAAAGGCTGTAGTGAGACAAGATCGCATCATTGCACTCCAGCTGGGGCAACAAGAGCAAAACTCTGTGTCAAAGAAAAGAAAAAAGAAAACACACAGGCCGGTGTAGTGGTTTATGCCTGTAATTGCAATATCTGGAGAGGTCTAGGTGGGCAGATCAGTTGCCGTCAGGAGTTCGAGACCGGCCTGCCTAGGTGGTGTACCCCTTTCTCTAGTACAAATACAAAAATAAGCTGGGTGTGGTGGCAGGCACCTGTAATGCCAGCTACTTGGGAGATTGGGGAAGGAGAATCGTTTGAATCTGGGAGGTCAAGGCTGCAGTGAGCCTTCACTGTGCCATTGCACTCCAGCCTGGGTGACAGAGGGAGACCATACCTTTAAATAAAAAAGAAGTCTGGGAGCAGTGGCTCATGCCTATAATCGTAGTACTTTCAGAGGCTGAGGCGGGCAAATCACAAGGTCAGAAGTTCGAGACCAGCCTGGCCAGCATAGTGAAACCCTGTCTCTACTAAAAATACAAAAATTAGCTGGGCATGTTAGCACATGCCTATAGTCACAGCTACTTGGGAGGCTGAGGCAGAAGAATCACTTGAATGTGGGAGGTGGAGGATGCATTGAGTTGAGATCGCACCACTGCACTCCAGCCAGGGCAATACAGCAATACTTCTTGTAAACAAATAAAAATTTTAAAATCCATATAGGAACTCATTGCAAGCCATGATTTTTTTACGAGAGTGACACATTTATAGGTTCAGGAGAATGCGAAGGAGGCCTCAGAGTAGAACTAAGGGTCCACAGACCTTTGAAGATCCCTTGTACTTCTCTAAAAGGTTGTATATTGTTTCCATTCTCAACCTGATCTTCTATGCCCCATAATTCTAGGGCATCAGTGATTTGCAAGTCACTGAATACCATGGCCTTTTTAAGGCATCGTGCTTGGCCATTCAGCAGCATCGTACCCTGCTGGCCACTCCTCTTTCTTGAAACACTTTTCTCTTGGATTAAGTAACCCAGAGTCTTCTGGTTTTTCTCCTACTCTCTGGCTACTGCTTCTCTGTCTTTGTAGATTCATTTCCTTACCTCTATGTAATGTTAGCATTATTCAAGGCTGGGCCCTAGGTCTGCTTTTCTTACTTCACTCTCTCCCACTAAAGTGACAGAATGGCCATGACTACAATGGCCACCTAAAAGGAGATGAATTCCAAATCCACTCATCCATTTCCCACCTGCCATTCACCCCTCACTGTAACAGGGTTTCTGTCTCTTTTAGGTCATCAGTCTCAATAGTTCACTAATGACCTCACGACTCCCAAATCCAATGAACACTTCCATTTCTTAACCTCTCTGTGACATGGGACATCATCAGCCATTCTCCTTCTTGAAATTTTCCCTTCCCTTAGGACTTTCACCCAGTTGAGAATCATTCACTTTCAATCATTTTTGGTGACTCTTGTACCTGCCTCTTGGGCTACCTGTTTCTAAAAGCTGCGCAAACATAAAGTGGTGATTTAGTAAGTAAAGGCAAACAGCTTGTACCTGCCTCTTGGGCTACCTGTTTCTAAAAGCTGCGCAAACATAAAGTGGTGATTTAGTAAGTAAAGGCGAACAGATGACATGTTAGGAAGGGCTAGCAGGATGAATGAAAATCAGGCAAAAGCTCAAGGATGTTGTCTAAACATTTTGTTTTTATGAGACCAGAACAGTTGACGTAGTATGGATATTTGTCCCCACCCAAATCTCATGGAAATATAATGCCCAGTGTTGGAGGTGGGGCCTGGTGGGGTGTTTGGGTTATGGGGCGGATCCCTCATGGCTTAGTGCTGTCCTCTCCATAGTGAGTTCTTACATATCTGGTTGTTGTAAAGTGTGGCACCTCCTCCCCACACTCACTTGCTCACTCTTTGATATGAGATGCCTGCCCCTGCTTCAACTTCTGCCATGGGTAAAAGCTCCCTGAGGCCTCCCAGAATCTTAGCGATGTCAGATGCCATGCTTATACAGCTTGCAGAACTGTGGGCCAACTAAACCTCTTTTCTTATAAACAACCCAGTCTTAGGTATTTCTTTATAGCTAGCAATGCAATAAGGCCCAATACAGGAATGAACTATGAACTGATTATTCCCTGGACAAAACAAAGGCATGCTAGTGAAGGCAGAAACTAATACTATTCATCCCCTTTCAATACTTCTAAGAGGTTAATTCAGCATCAAAAAATTAATTTCTCAAAACTCATAGCTATTTAGTAAAGTGACTTACCACACTTAGCTTCATACTTGGATGCTGTTACTATTTATCAACATCACAACAAAACAAGCTGAGACTAAAAGTTGCCATCTAACAACAACAGACATTGGTTCAGTTTCCCTCCTGGAGAGGGTATGTGCTCAGATCACGAGACCTGAGATAAAACAACCTAGATTGTCAAGAATCCAACAAGGACTACATCTTACCTCTTAATAGAAAAAATGCTGAAGGAAGACAAAATGAGATGTTTACCAATATTCCTCATGCTAAGCTCATAAAAGCAAATAAAAAACTAAAACTAATCCTAAAACTTTAGGACATTGGATACAGAAGTAACATGACTATTTAAATGTTTGCATCAATGAAAGTTTGTTCTATCCTTCTCTGTACTTGTGCTACAAGGACACGCTTGTGACTTCTACACTACCCAGAGTCAACAGTTATCATCAGCAATTCAGTATAACTAGAGGGGAACAAGGCTTCAAAGCGACTCTGCTCCACCAAAATTCAGAAATTCAATTCAGGATGAACGGCAGCTTTTGATTTTAGGACCAGCTCTTACTTTTCTCTCGTGTCATACGTGACAAACTCCTCATTTGACATTTCCCCCTGCAAATTGTAATGTATGTCCTCGCTATTAGCTTTTTCTGAGACTTTAAGGTTGAATTTTGGAAACTGCAAAAAAATGAAATTGTACTTCCAATTCTGAACCTCTGATTGGATTCCTGCTTTGACGCAAAACTTACTCCTCAACTGCGTACTCCTCTCCTTTTCTTTTTCTTTTATTTTTTAGAGATGGAGTCTCACTCTGTGGCCTAGGCTGGAGTGCAGTGGCACAATTATGGATAACCGCAACCTCCACCTCCTGAGTTCAAGCAATTCTCCCGCCTCAGTCTCCCAAGTAGCTGGGACTACAGGCACCTGCCACCATGCCTGGCTAATTTTTGAATTCTTAGTAGAGACAGAGTTTCACCATGTTGGCCAGGCTGGTTTCAAACTCCTGACCTCAGGTGATCCACCCACCTCGGCCTCCCAAAGTGCTGTGATTACGGGTGTGAGCTATCACACCCATCCTCTCCCTTTCTATGGGTAATACCACTTTCCTGCTTTCTTTTTACTGCTGAATCTTCAGACTTGTCATCAGGGCACCGGAATCGACCTCGGTTTCGAGCTCCTGGGTGGGAACGCTGCGTCCCTGGATGGTCCTGAAGTACAACAGAATATGTTACTTTTACAACAATGTCACCAAACTTTTACTTGGGATTTTCAGGTCATAACATATATTAATATACACTAAAGCCCAGTCATTGAAGGCATGGTAAATGACAACTTGACCACTTCCTCTTTCCATCTCCAAAGAAAAGCAACCATTTAGTAATCATTATTTTATAAGCCTGCTATCACTTCCTATTTTTTGGAGGCATGGTCTCATTGTATCATCCAGGCTGAAGTGCTAGTGGCAAGATTGCAGCTCACTGCAGCCTCAATAATTCCAGACTCAAGCGATCCTCCCACCTCAGTGCCCTAGCAGCTGGGATTGCAGACACGCTCCACCATACTGGGCTACGTTTTAAATTTTTTAATAGAGATGCGGTCTCCCTATGTTATCCAGGATGGTCTTGAGTTCCTGAAGTTAAGCTATCCTCCTGCCTTGGCCTCCCAAATGCTAGGATTACCTGCATGAGGCATCACGCTTGGCTCATTCTTTTTTTTTTTTTTTTTTCTTGAGACAAAATTTTGCTCTTGTTGCCCAGGCTAGAGTGCAGTTTGCAGTCTCAGCTCACTGCAACCTCTGCCTCTCAAATTCAGGCAATTCTCCTGCCTCAGTCTGCCGAGTACTGGAACTACAGGTGCACCCCAACATGCCCGGCTAATTTTTGTATTTTAGTAGAGACGGGGTTTCACCATGTAGGCCAGATTTGTCTCCAACTGCTGACCTCAAGTGATCCACCCGCCTTGGCCTCCCAAAGTGCTGGAATTACAGGCATGAGCCACTGTGCCTGGCCCATAGTTATCAAGGACATGAAATTATGCCTTATGAGGAAGTGGTCCTTACCCCCCTTGTCTGCAACATAAGAAATGAGAGCAAGGTGGAAAATTAGAAGAAGAAAGGTGGCGCTGGGAAAGGATATCAATTTAAGATGGGTTTTAAAAATCGCTTAGCAGGAGGGAGGGCGCTCCTGTGGTTTTGCCAGTTGATCTGGTTGAGGGATTTTCTCCAGCAACACTTGCAGCTTAGGGGCAGGAGGCTCCCACTCCACCCCGTGCTACTACGACCCTTCTGACATCGTGCATCATGATCTGACTACTGCTACTTGTCTCTTGCCAACACTGAAACATGAGTTCCACAGGCACAGGGACTTATTTGAATCCCTGACCTCCAGGGCTGGACACACAGTCAAGGATCGGTACATGTTTGCTAAATGAATGAGCCAGTGGAAGAAATTTAAGAGGGTGGGGTGGGGAAGTGCAGTTTACCCAGAGCTGGACAGGCAAGGCAAGTAGAAGAAAAGAGGGAGATGCTGACATAGACAGCCTTGAGATGGCTGGCGACAGGCTAGACAAAGAGGCAAGCGGTATCAACTCATGCTTGGTCATTCAGGAACATTGTTTCTCCTCTAACCTCTACTTTGGCTTCCATTTTCACCTGCCTTTTACAGGAAGCCTACACTATTACTTGTCCTTTCTCTTGGATATTCATCCATCTAGAGCTTTCCTTTTGGCTTCTAAACTTACGTTCTCATATTTAAAATGATGCTTCATTAAAACCATTAATCTGTGTATCTCCATTTCTTTCAGAGCTGTATTAGTGAGTTTCACACCGGTAGAAAGAAATACCTGAGACTACATAATATAGAAAGGGAAGAGGTCTAATTCACTCACAATTCCACATGGCTTGGGAAGCCTCAGGAAATTTACAATCATGGCAGAAGGGGAAGCAGGCACATCTTACATGGCAGCAGACCAGAGGTCAAGTGTGAGCATAGGAAAAAACTGCCTTGTATAAAACGATCAGATCTGAGACTCTTTCACTATCATGAAATCAGCATGTGGGAAACTGCCTCCATAATCAAATCACCTCCCACCAAGTTCCTCCCTTGACAAATGAGGATTACAATTCAAAATGAGATGTGGGTGGGGGCACAGAGCCCAATCGTATCAACAACCATATGAGAAGTCTTCAAAAAGTTATTATCAAGAAACTATGCATAGATTGCAAAATCTTTTGGTACCAAAAGAAACTGTTACTAACTCGTTAAAAAATACATCAACAGGATCCAGTCTGAGGTATGAAAAAGGAGAAATCATCACTTTTTAAAAAAGCCAGTATCAGAGCAAACTGAATTCTGCTAAAACTGAAGGAAGAACAAACATTAAGGTGATGTTTGGGTGGAAGAATGGTAAAATCACTGATGCTTTACCAAATGTTTATGGGGACAATGCCCCTAAATAAATCAGCAGTTTACATATGAAAAACTTGTAAGAAGGGACAAGATGATGTTGAAGATGAAGCCTGCAGCAGCAGGTCATTCGCATCAATTTGTAAGGAAAAAAATGAATCCTCTTTGTTCTCTAACTGAAACGCATTGGCCAGACATGGTGGTTCGCCCCTGTAATCCCAGCACTCTGGGAGGCCAAGTCGGGCGGATCACCTGTGGTCAGAAGTTCAAGATCAGTCTGGCCAACGTGGTGAAACCCCACATCTAATAAATATATACAATTATCTGGGGGGTGGGGTGGGTGGCAGGTGCCTCTAATCCCAACTACTCTGGAGGCTGAGGCAGGAGAATTATTGAACCCAGAGGTGGAGGTTGCAGTGAGGCAAGATCATGCAACTGGCCTCCAACCTCTGTGAAAGAGTGAGACTCTGTCTCAAAAAAAGAAAAGGACCAACAATTAACAGCAGAAACAACAGCCAACACCATAGACATCCCAATTGTTTCAGCTTACACAATTCTGACTGAAAAATTAAAAGTTGAGCAAACTTTCCACTTGATGGGTGCCAAAACCAGATCAACTGCAGAAGAGAGCAGAGCTTTCGATGGAAATTTTAAACAAGTGGGATCTATTAGGTTGCTGCATATTAATTGCTGTTTATGCCATGGAATGTCAAAAGCCACAATTACGTTGGTACCAACCAATAGATCATAAAGCAGCAATCTGGAAAGCGTAACAGGAGGTGATACATGGCTTTCCCAGTATGACTCTGAAGGCAAAGTATAATCAGAGTAATGGCTCCAAAGAGGTAGAAGTGGTCCAGTCAAAGCAAAGTGGACTGGCCAAGAGCAAAGGCCATGGCAATAGTTTATTGAGCTGCTTGAGGAACTTCCCTTGTTGACTTTCTGGAGGGTGGAAGAATAATCACACCTGCTTATTATGAGTGTTTTGAGAAAGCCAAAGCGTTAGCAGCAAAATGCCCAGGAAAGCTTCACCAGAGAGGCCTTTTCTACTTCAGCAAAGCTTCTGCTCATGCGTCTCATCAAACAAGTGCAATTTTGAGAGTTTCAATGGGAAACCATTAGGCATCTACCTTACAGTAGGAATTTAGCTCCTTCTGACACCTTTTTGTTTTCTAGTCTTAAAAAGTCTGTAAAGGGCACCCATTTCTCTTCAACTGATAATGTAAGAAAGAGTGCATTGATGTGGTTAAATTCCCAGGACCTCCACTTCTTTGGGGATGGATGAAATGGTTAGTATCCAATTGTGAGCAAGAGACAAAAATAAATAAATAAATGGCCAGTATCGTTGCTGACGAAAGTGTCTTGACCTTGGTGGACCTTATGATGAGAAATTTATATTTTTTCTTTTAGTTCTATTTTCTACAAACTTTCCTTTTTTTTCTGTTTCTTTTCTTTTTCAGATGGAGTCTGGCTCTGTCACCCAGGCAGAAGTGCAGTGGTGCGATTTCAGCTTACTGCAACCTCCGCCTTCTTGGTTCTAGCAATTCTCCTGCCTCAGCCTCCTGAGTAGTTGGGATTACAGGCCCCTGCCACTGGGCCTGGCTAATTTTTGTATTTTTAGTAGAGACGGGGTTTTGCCATGTTAGCAAGGCTGGTCTCGGACCCCTGATCTCAAGTGAACATCTGCCTTGGCCTCCCAAAGTGCTAGGACAACAGGCGTGTGAGTGACACCACGCTTGGCCTTTCTTTGGGGGGTTTGGGGGTTTGGAGTCTTATTCTGTCACCTAGGCAGGAGTGTAGTGGCGTGATCTCGGCTCACTGCAACCTCCACCTCACGGGTTCAAGTGATTCTGCTGCCTGAGCCTCCGGAGAACTCTGGACTACAGGTGCATGCCACCATGCCTGGCTAAATTTTTTGTTTTTGTATTTTTTGGTAGAGATGGGGTTTCGCCATGTTGGCCAGACTGGTCTTGAACTCCTGACCTCAGGTGATCCACCCACCTCAGCCTCCCAAAGTGTTGGGATTACAGGTGGAAGCCACCATGCCTGCCTATGTTCTTTTAAAAATCCATTTGTGGTAGGACACGGTAGCTCAGGAAGGACTGGCAGGATGAATGAAAATCAGGCAAAAGCTCGAGGATGTTGTCTAAACATTTTGTTCTTACAGAACAAGAAGAGTTGATGTGGTTTGGATACTTGTCCCCACCCAAATCTCAAGGCAATATAATGCCCAGTGTTGGAGGTGGGGCCTGGTGGGGTGTTTGGGTTATGGGGCGGATCCCTCATGGCTTAGTGCTGCCCTCTCCATAGTGAGTTCTTACAGATCTGGTTGTTGTAAAGTGTGGCACCTCCTCCCCACACTCACTCTCTTGCTCACTCTGTGATGTGAAATGCCTGCCCTTGCTTCACCTTCTGCCATGAGTAAAAGCTCTCTGAGGCCTCCCAGAAGCTGAGCAATCTGAGATGCCTCGCTTGTACTTCCAATTCTGAACCTCTGATTGGATTCCTGCTTTGACCGCAAAACTTACTCCTCAACTGCGTACTCCTCTCCTTTCTTTTTCTTTTATTTTTTAGAGATGGAGGTCTCACTCTGTGCCTAGGGCTGGAGTGCAGTGGCACAATTATGGATAACCGCAACCTCCACCTCCTGAGTTCAAGCAATTCTCCCGCCTCAGTCTCCCAAGTAGCTGGGGACTACAGGCACCTGCCACCATGCCTGGCTAATTTTTGAATTCTTAGTAGAGACAGAGTTTCACCATGTTGGCCAGGCTGGTTTCAAACTCCTGACCTCAGGTGATCCACCCACCTCGGCCTCCCAAAGTGCTGTGATTACGGGTGTGAGCTATCACACCCATCCTCTCCCTTTCTATGGGTAATACCACTTTCCTGCTTTCTTTTTACTGCTGAATCTTCAGACTTGTCATCAGGGCACCGGAATCGACCTCGGTTTCGAGCTCCTGGGTGGGAACGCTGCGTCCCTGGATGGTCCTGAAGTACAACAGAATATGTTACTTTTACAACAATGTCACCAAACTTTTACTTGGGATTTTCAGGTCATAACATATATTAATATACACTAAAGCCCAGTCATTGAAGGCATGGTAAATGACAACTTGACCACTTCCTCTTTCCATCTCCAAAGAAAAGCAACCATTTAGTAATCATTATTTTATAAGCCTGCTATCACTTCCTATTTTTTGGAGGCATGGTCTCATTGTATCATCCAGGCTGAAGTGCTAGTGGCAAGATTGCAGCTCACTGCAGCCTCAATAATTCCAGACTCAAGCGATCCTCCCACCTCAGTGCCCTAGCAGCTGGGATTGCAGACACGCTCCACCATACTGGGCTACGTTTTAAATTTTTAATAGAGATGCGGTCTCCCTATGTTATCCAGGATGGTCTTGAGTTCCTGAAGTTAAGCTATCCTCCTGCCTTGGCCTCCCAAATGCTAGGATTACCTGCATGAGGCATCACGCTTGGCTCATTCTTTTTTTTTTTTTTTTTCTTGAGACAAAATTTTGCTCTTGTTGCCCAGGCTAGAGTGCAGTTTGCAGTCTCAGCTCACTGCAACCTCTGCCTCTCAAATTCAGGCAATTCTCCTGCCTCAGTCTGCCGAGTACTGGAACTACAGGTGCACCCCAACATGCCCGGCTAATTTTTGTATTTTTAGTAGAGACGGGGTTTCACCATGTAGGCCAGATTTGTCTCCAACTGCTGACCTCAAGTGATCCACCCGCCTTGGCCTCCCAAAGTGCTGGAATTACAGGCATGAGCCACTGTGCCTGGCCCATAGTTATCAAGGACATGAAATTATGCCTTATGAGGAAGTGGTCCTTACCCCCCTTGTCTGCAACATAAGAAATGAGAGCAAGGTGGAAAATTAGAAGAAGAAAGGTGGCGCTGGGAAAGGATATCAATTTAAGATGGGTTTTAAAAATCGCTTAGCAGGAGGGAGGGCGCTCCTGTGGTTTTGCCAGTTGATCTGGTTGAGGGATTTTCTCCAGCAACACTTGCAGCTTAGGGGCAGGAGGCTCCCACTCCACCCCGTGCTACTACGACCCTTCTGACATCGTGCATCATGATCTGACTACTGCTACTTGTCTCTTGCCAACACTGAAACATGAGTTCCACAGGCACAGGGACTTATTTGAATCCCTGACCTCCAGGGCTGGACACACAGTCAAGGATCGGTACATGTTTGCTAAATGAATGAGCCAGTGGAAGAAATTTAAGAGGGTGGGGTGGGGAAGTGCAGTTTACCCAGAGCTGGACAGGCAAGGCAAGTAGAAGAAAAGAGGGAGATGCTGACATAGACAGCCTTGAGATGGCTGGCGACAGGCTAGACAAAGAGGCAAGCGGTATCAACTCATGCTTGGTCATTCAGGAACATTGTTTCTCCTCTAACCTCTACTTTGGCTTCCATTTTCACCTGCCTTTTACAGGAAGCCTACACTATTACTTGTCCTTTCTCTTGGATATTCATCCATCTAGAGCTTTCCTTTTGGCTTCTAAACTTACGTTCTCATATTTAAAATGATGCTTCATTAAAACCATTAATCTGTGTATCTCCATTTCTTTCAGAGCTGTATTAGTGAGTTTTCACACCGGTAGAAAGAAATACCTGAGACTACATAATATAGAAAGGGAAGAGGTCTAATTCACTCACAATTCCACATGGCTTGGGAAGCCTCAGGAAATTTACAATCATGGCAGAAGGGGAAGCAGGCACATCTTACATGGCAGCAGACCAGAGGTCAAGTGTGAGCATAGGAAAAACTGCCTTGTATAAAACGATCAGATCTGAGACTCTTTCACTATCATGAAATCAGCATGTGGGAAACTGCCTCCATAATCAAATCACCTCCCACCAAGTTCCTCCCTTGACAAATGAGGATTACAATTCAAAATGAGATGTGGGTGGGGGCACAGAGCCCAATCGTATCAACAACCATATGAGAAGTCTTCAAAAAGTTATTATCAAGAAACTATGCATAGATTGCAAAATCTTTTGGTACCAAAAGAAACTGTTACTAACTCGTTAAAAAATACATCAACAGGATCCAGTCTGAGGTATGAAAAAGGAGAAATCATCACTTTTTAAAAAAGCCAGTATCAGAGCAAACTGAATTCTGCTAAAACTGAAGGAAGAACAAACATTAAGGTGATGTTTGGGTGGAAGAATGGTAAAATCACTGATGCTTTACCAAATGTTTATGGGGACAATGCCCCTAAATAAATCAGCAGTTTACATATGAAAAACTGTAAGAAGGGACAAGATGATGTTGAAGATGAAGCCTGCAGCAGCAGGTCATTCGCATCAATTTGTAAGGAAAAAAATGAATCCTCTTTGTTCTCTAACTGAAACGCATTGGCCAGACATGGTGGTTCGCCCCTGTAATCCCAGCACTCTGGGAGGCCAAGTCGGGCGGATCACCTGTGGTCAGAAGTTCGAGATCAGTCTGGCCAACGTGGTGAAACCCCACATCTAATAAATATATACAAATTATCTGGGGGGTGGGGTGGGTGGCAGGTGCCTCTAATCCCAACTACTCTGGAGGCTGAGGCAGGAGAATTATTGAACCCAGAGGTGGAGGTTGCAGTGAGGCAAGATCATGCTACTGGCCTCCAACCTCTGTGAAAGAGTGAGACTCTGTCTCAAAAAAAGAAAAGGACCAACAATTAACAGCAGAAACAACAGCCAACACCATAGACATCCCAATTGTTTCAGCTTACACAATTCTGACTGAAAAATTAAAAGTTGAGCAAACTTTCCACTTGATGGGTGCCAAAACCAGATCAACTGCAGAAGAGAGCAGAGCTTTCGATGGAAATTTTAAACAAGTGGGATCTATTAGGTTGCTGCATATTAATTGCTGTTTATGCCATGGAATGTCAAAAGCCACAATTACGTTGGTACCAACCAATAGATCATAAAGCAGCAATCTGGAAAGCGTAACAGGAGGTGATACATGGCTTTCCCAGTATGACTCTGAAGGCAAAGTATAATCAGAGTAATGGCTCCAAAGAGGTAGAAGTGGTCCAGTCAAAGCAAAGTGGACTGGCCAAGAGCAAAGGCCATGGCAATAGTTTATTGAGCTGCTTGAGGAACTTCCCTTGTTGACTTTCTGGAGGGTGGAAGAATAATCACACCTGCTTATTATGAGTGTTTTGAGAAAGCCAAAGCGTTAGCAGCAAAATGCCCAGGAAAGCTTCACCAGAGAGGCCTTTTCTACTTCAGCAAAGCTTCTGCTCATGCGCCTCATCAAACAAGTGCAATTTGAGAGTTTCAATGGGAAACCATTAGGCATCTACCTTACAGTAGGAATTTAGCTCCTTCTGACACCTTTTTGTTTTCTAGTCTTAAAAAGTCTGTAAAGGGCACCCATTTCTCTTCAACTGATAATGTAAGAAAGAGTGCATTGATGTGGTTAAATTCCCAGGACCTCCACTTCTTTGGGGATGGATGAAATGGTTAGTATCCAATTGTGAGCAAGAGACAAAAATAATAAATAAATGGCCAGTATCATTGCTGACGAAAGTGTCTTGACCTTGGTGGAGCTTATGATGAGAAATTTATATTTTTTCCTTTTAGTTCTATTTTCTACAAACTTTCCTTTTTTTCTGTTTCTTTTCTTTTTTCAGATGGAGTCTGGCTCTGTCACCCAGGCAGAAGTGCAGTGGTGCGATTTCAGGCTTACTGCAACCTCCGCCTTCTGGTTCTAGCAATTCTCCTGCCTCAGCCTCCTGAGTAGTTGGGATTACAGGCCCCTGCCACTGGGCCTGGCTAATTTTTGTATTTTTAGTAGAGACGGGGTTTTGCCATGTTAGCAAGGCTGGTCTCGGACCCCTGATCTCAAGTGAAACATCTGCCTTGGCCTCCCAAAGTGCTAGGACAACAGGCGTGTGAGTGACACCACGCTTGGCCTTTCTTTGGGGGGTTTGGGGGTTTGGAGTCTTATTCTGTCACCTAGGCAGGAGTGTAGTGGCGTGATCTCGGCTCACTGCAACCTCCACCTCACGGGTTCAAGTGATTCTGCTGCCTGAGCCTCCGGAGAACTCTGGACTACAGGTGCATGCCACCATGCCTGGCTAAATTTTTTGTTTTTGTATTTTTTGGTAGAGATGGGGTTTCGCCATGTTGGCCAGACTGGTCTTGAACTCCTGACCTCAGGTGATCCACCCACCTCAGCCTCCCAAAGTGTTGGGATTACAGGTGGAAGCCACCATGCCTGGCCTATGTTCTTTTAAAAATCCATTTGTGGTAGGACACGGTAGCTCAGGAAGGACTGGCAGGATGAATGAAAATCAGGCAAAAGCTCGAGGATGTTGTCTAAACATTTTGTTCTTACAGAACAAGAAGAGTTGATGTGGTTTGGATACTTGTCCCCACCCAAATCTCAAGGCCATATAATGCCCAGTGTTGGAGGTGGGGCCTGGTGGGGTGTTTGGGTTATGGGGCGGATCCCTCATGGCTTAGTGCTGCCCTCTCCATAGTGAGTTCTTACAGATCTGGTTGTTGTAAAGTGTGGCACCTCCTCCCCACACTCACTCTCTTGCTCACTCTGTGATGTGAAATGCCTGCCCTTGCTTCACCTTCTGCCATGAGTAAAAGCTCTCTGAGGCCTCCCAGAAGCTGAGCAATCTGAGATGCCTCGCTTGTACAGCCTGCAGAACTGTGAGCCAAATAAATCTCTTTTTTTTTCTTTTTTCTTTTTTTTTTTTGAGACGGAGTTTCGCTCTTGTTACCCAGGCTGGAGTGCAATGGCGCAATCTCGGCTCACCGCAACCTCCACCTCCTGGATTCAGGCAATTCTCCTCCCTCAGCCTCCTGAGTAGCTGGGACTACAGGCATGTGCCACCATGCCTGGCTAATTTTTTTGTATTTTTAGTAGAGACAGGTTTCACCATGTTGGCCAGGCTGGTCTCGAACTCCTGACATCAACTGATTCTCCCACCTCGGCCTCCCAAAGTGCTAGGATAACAGGCATGAGCCACTGCGCCTGGCCAAACCTCTTTTCTTATCAACTACCCAGTCTCAGGTATTTCCTTACAGCAATGCAAGAATGGCCTAATATAGGAGTGAACCATGAACTGATCATTCCCTGGTGGACAAAGCCATGCTAGTGAAGGAAGAAACTAACATCATTCATCCCCTGTCAATACTTCTAAGAGGTTAATTCAGTATCAAAAAATTAATTTCTCAAACTCACAGCTATTTAGTAAAGTGACTTACCACACTTAGCTTCATACTTGGATGCTGTTACTATTTATCAACATCACAACAAAACAAGCTGAGACTAAAAGTTGCCATCTAACAACAACAGACATTGGTTCAGTTTCCCTCCTGGAGAGGGTATGTGCTCAGATCACGAGACCTGAGATAAAACAACCTAGATTGTCAAGAATCCAACAAGGACTACATCTTACCTCTTGATAGAAAAAATGCTGAAGGAAGACAAAATGAGATGTTTACAAATATTCCTCATGCTAAGCTCATAAAAGCAAATAAAAAACTAAAACTAATCCCAAAACTTTAGGACATTGGATACAGAAGTAACATGACTATTTAAATGTTTGCATCAATGAAAGTTTGTTCTATCCTTCCCTGTACTTGTGCTACAAGGACACGCTTGTGACTTCTACACTACCCAGAGTCAACAGTTATCATCAGCAATTCAGTATAACTAGAGGGGAACAAGGCTTCAAAGCGACTCTGCTCCACCAAAATTCAGAAATTCAATTCAGGATGAACAGCAGCTTTTGATTTTAGAAACAGGTCTTACTTTTCTCTCGTGTCACAGGTAATGAACTCCCTGCAAATTGCAATGCATGTCCTCACCATTACCTTTTTCTGACACTTTAAAGTTAATTTATAAAAATTGCAAAAACAATGAGATTATAATTTCAATTCTGACATCTGATCAGATTCCTGCTTTGAGGCAAAACTTACTCCTCTGCTATATACTCCTCTCCTCTCCTCTCCTCTCTCTCTCTTTTTTTTTTTTTTTTGGAGACAGAGTCTTGCTCTGTTGCCCAGGCTGGAGTGCAGTGGCAAGATGATGGCTCACTGGAACCTCTGCCTGGCAAGATCATGGCTCACTGGAACCTCTGCCTCCTGAGTTCAAGCAATTCTCCTGCCTTAGCCTCCCAAGTATCTGAGACTACAGGTGCCTGCCACCACGCCCAGCTAAATTTTGTATTTTTAGTAGAGACAGGGTTTCACCATGTTGGCCAGGCTGGTCTCAAACTCCTGACCTCAGGTGATCCATTCACCTTGGCCTCCCAAGGTGCTGGGATTACAGGCATGAGCCACCACACCCGGCCTCTCCTCTTCTTTTGTATGGCTAATACCACTTTCCTGCTTTCTTTCTAGTGCTGAATCTCCAGACTTGGTGTTGTCTTCAGGGTACCAGAGTCGACCTTGGCTTCGAGCTCCTTGTTGGTAACGTTGCATCTCTGGATAATCCTGAAGTACAATGACATATGTTACTGTTACAACAATGCTACTCAGCTTTTACATGGGATTTTCAAGTCATAACTTGTATGTTAATATATACTAAAGCCCAGTTATTTAAGACCAAAAATGTGAAGGCATGGTAAATGACACCTTGACCACTTCTTCTCTCCATCTCCAAAGAAAAGAAATCATTTCACAATTATTATTTTACAAGCCTAGTATAAGTTCCTTTTTTTGAGACATGTTCTCATTTTGTCACCCAGGCTGAAGTGCAAATGGCAAGATTGTGGCTCACTGCAGCCTCAACATACCAGACACAAGCAATCCTCCCACCTCAGCTCCCTAGTAGTTGGGATTGCAGGCACGCTCTGTCACATTGGGCTAAGTTTTAAAAATTTTTAATAGAGATGGGGTCTCTCTATGTTATCCAGGCTGGTCTTGAATTCCTGAAGTTAAGTAATCCTCCCACCTTGGCCTCCGAAATGCTAAGATTACCTGCATTAGCCATCATGCTTGGCCCATTTCTTTCTTTCTTTCTTTCTTTTTTTTTTTTTTGTGACAGAGTCTCGCTCCGTTGCCCAGGCTAGAGTTAGTGGCCAGATCTCAGCTCACTGCAACCTCCAGCTCCCAAGTTCAAGCGATTCTCCTGACTCAGCCTCTGGAGTAGCGGGGATTATAGGTGAGTGCCACCACGCCTGGTTAATTTTTCATATTTTTAGTAGAGACAGGGTTTCACCGTGTTGGACAGGCTGGTCTCGAACTCCTGACCTCGTGATCCACCCATCTCAGCCTCCTAAAGTGCTGGATTACAGGTGTGAGCCATGGCGCCCCGCCTTCTTTTTTTTTCTTTTTTTTAGACAGAGTTTTGCTCTTGTTGCCCAGGCTGGAGTGCAGTGGTGCAATCTTGGCTCACTGCAACCTCTGCCTCTCAAATTCAGGCAATTCTCCTGCCTCAGTCTGCCGAGTACTGGAACTACAGGTGCACCCCAACATGCCCGGCTAATTTTTGTACTTTTAGTAGAGACGGGGTTTCACCATGTAGGCCAGGTTTGTCTCCAACTGCTGACCTCAAGTGATCCACCTGCCTTGGCCTCCCAAAGTGCTGGAATTACAGGCATGAGCCACTGTGCCTGGCCTTTAGTTATCAAGGACATGAAATTACGCTTTATGAGGAAGTGGTCCTTACCCCCCTTGTCTGCAACATAAGAAATGAGAGCAAGGTGGAAAATTAGAAGAAGAAAGGTGGCGCTGGGAAAGGATATCAATTTAAGATGGGTTTTAAAAATCGCTTAGCAGGAGGGAGGGCGCTCCTGTGGTTTTGCCAGTTGATCTGGTTGAGGGATTTTCTCCAGCAACACTTGCAGCTTAGGGGCAGGAGGCTCCCACTCCACCCCGTGCTACTACGACCCTTCTGACATCGTGCATCATGATCTGACTACTGCTACTTGTCTCTTGCCAACACTGAAACATGAGTTCCACAGGCACAGGGACTTATTTGAATCCCTGACCTCCAGGGCTGGACACACAGTCAAGGATCGGTACATGTTTGCTAAATGAATGAGCCAGTGGAAGAAATTTAAGAGGATGGAGTGCGGAAGTGCAGTTTACCCAGAGCTGGACAGGCAAGGCAAGTAGACCAAAAGAGGGAGAGGCTGACATAGACAGCCTTGAGGTGGCTGGCGACAGGCTAGACAAAGAGGCAAGCGGTATCAACTCATGCTTGGTGGTTCATGAGCGTTGCTTCTCCTAAGGCCGACTCCTCTAACCTCTACCCTGGGTTCCATTTTCATCTGCCTTTGCAGGAAGCCTACACTATTAGTTGCCTCTTTCTCTTGGGTATTCATCTTTCTAGAGATTTCCTTTTGCTTCTAAACTTACTTTCTCCTATTTAAAATACTGCTTCATTAACATCATTAACCTAGGTATCTCCATTTCTTTCACAGCTGTATTAGTCAGTTTTCATACTAGCAGAAAAAATACCCGAGAGTGGGTAATATATATAGATAAGAGGTTTAATTTATTTTTTTAATGAGATGGAGTCTCTCTCTTGTCACCCAGGCTGAAGTCCAATGGCACGATCTTGGTTGACTGCAACCTCCACCTCCCAGGTTTAAGTGCTTCTCCTGCCTTAGCCTCCTGAGTAGCTGGAATTATAGGCAGGTGCCAGCACGCCCAGCTAATTTTTTGTATTTTTAGTGGAGATGGGGTTTCGCCATGTTTGCTAGGCTGGTCTTGAACTCCTGACCTCAAGTGATCCACCTGCCTCGGCCTCCCAAAGTCCTGGGATTACAGATGTGAGCCATTGTGCCCAGCCGAAAAGGTTTAATTAACAATTCCACATGGCTGCCCCCAGGAAAGTTTCCTCAGGAAGCTTATAATCATGGCAGAAGGGGAAGAGGACACATGTTACATGGCAGCAGACTAGAGGTGAAGTGTGAGCATAGGAAGAACTGCCTTGTTTAAAACCATCAGATCCTGTGAGACTCACTCACTGTCACAAGATTAGCCTGTGGGAAACTGCCCCCACAATCCAATCACCTCCCACCAGCTCCTCCCTTGACACATGAGGATTACAATTTAAGATGAAATTTGGGTGGGGGCACAGAGCCCAATCATATCAACAGCCATATAAGAAGTCTTCAAAAAGTCCATGGAAAATGTGTATTATCGAGAAATTACGCATCGATTGCAAAATCTTTCAGCACCAAAATTAATTGGTACTAACTCGTTAAAAAATATCTCAAAGGATGTAGTTTGAGATATTAAAAAGGAGACGTCATCAGTTTGAAAAAGGCCCCTATCAGAGCAAAATGGATTCTGCTAAAATTGAAGGAAGAACAAACATAGAATTTAAGGTGAGGCTTGAGTAGAAGAATGGAGAAATCACTAATGCTTTACCAAAAGTAAAGCAATGTCCCTAAAGGAATCAGCAGTCTACATATGGATAACTTGTAAGAAGGGACATGATGAGGTTGAAGATGAAGCCTGCAGCAGCAGGTCATCCACATCAATTTGCATGGAAAAAAATTAATCCTCTTTGTTCTCTAACTGAAACGCATTGGCCAGACATGGTGGTTTACCCCTGTAATCCCAGTGTTCTGGGAGGCCAAGGCGAGTGGATCACCTGAGTTCAGGAGTTTGAGAACACCCTGGCCAACATGGTGGAACCCCATCTCTACTAATAATATAAAAATTAGCCAGGCATTGTGGCAGGCGCCTATAATCCCAGCTACTTGGGAGGCTGAGGGTAGGAGAATTGCTTGAACCCGGGAAGCAGAAGTTGCAGTGAGTGAGCCAAGATCCCACCATTGCACTCCAGCCTGGCAAACAAGAGTGAGACTTCATCCCCCTCCCCTGCAAAAAAAAACAAAAAAATGTCCAGGCTGGGTGCAGTGACTCATGCCCGTAATGCCAGCACTTTGGGAGGCCAAGGCAGGTGTATCACCTGAGGTCAGGAGTTCGAGACCAGCCTGGCCAACAGAGTGAAAACCTGTTGCTACTAAAAATACAAAAATTCGCCAGGTGTGGTGGTGGGTGCCTATAATCCTAGCTACTCGGGCGGCTGAGGCACAAGAATTGCTTCAACTCGGTTGGCAAGGTGGCTGATGCCTGTAATCCCAACACTTTGGGAGGCCGAGGAGGGCAGATCATGAGGTCAGGAGTTCAAGAGCAGCCTGATCAACATGGTGAAACCCCGTCTGTTCTACAAATACAAAAATTAGCTGGGCGTGGTGGCGCGTGCCTGTAATCCCAGCTACTCAGGAGGCTGAGACAGGAGAATCGCTTGAACCCGGGAGGCAGAGGTTGCAGTGAGCCAAGATTGTGCCACTGCACTTCAGCCTGGGCGACAGAGTGAGACTCCACCTCAAAAAAAAAAAAAAAAAAAAAGAACTGCTTCAACTCAGAGGGTGGAGGTTGTAGTGAGCCAAGATCAGGCCACTGCATTCTACCCTGGGCAACAGAATGAGACTTTATGTTAAAAAGAAAAAAAAAAAAAAAAAAAAAAGCCAGGCGCGGTGGCTCATGCTTGTAATGCCAGCACTTTGGGACTTTGGGAGGCTGAGGCGGGCGGACCACCTGGAGTTGGGAGTTCAAGACCAGACTGACGAACATGGAGAAACCCCATCTCTACTAAAAATAGAAAAAATTAGCTTGGCGTGGTGTCACATGCCTATAATCCCAGTTACTCAGGAGGCTGAGACAGGGGAATCACTTCAACCTGGGTGCCAAAGGCTGTAGTGAGACAAGATCGCATCATTGCACTCCAGCTGGGGCAACAAGAGCAAAACTCTGTGTCAAAGAAAAGAAAAAAGAAAACACACAGGCCGGTGTAGTGGTTCATGCCTGTAATTGCAATATCTGGAGAGGTCTAGGTGGGCAGATCAGTTGCCGTCAGGAGTTCAAGACCGGCCTGCCTAGGTGGTGTACCCCTTTCTCTAGTACAAATACAAAAATAAGCTGGGTGTGGTGGCAGGCACCTGTAATGCCAGCTACTTGGGAGATTGGGGAAGGAGAATCGTTTGAATCTGGGAGGTCAAGGCTGCAGTGAGCCTTCACTGTGCCATTGCACTCCAGCCTGGGTGACAGAGGGAGACCATACCTTTAAATAAAAAAGAAGTCTGGGAGCAGTGGCTCATGCCTATAATCGTAGTACTTTCAGAGGCTGAGGCGGGCAAATCACAAGGTCAGAAGTTCGAGACCAGCCTGGCCAGCATAGTGAAACCCTGTCTCTACTAAAAATACAAAAATTAGCTGGGCATGTTAGCACATGCCTATAGTCACAGCTACTTGGGAGGCTGAGGCAGAAGAATCACTTGAATGTGGGAGGTGGAGGATGCATTGAGTTGAGATCGCACCACTGCACTCCAGCCAGGGCAATACAGCAATACTTCTTGTAAACAAATAAAAATTTTAAAATCCATATAGGAACTCATTGCAAGCCATGATTTTTTTACGAGAGTGACACATTTATAGGTTCAGGAGAATGCGAAGGAGGCCTCAGAGTAGAACTAAGGGTCCACAGACCTTTGAAGATCCCTTGTACTTCTCTAAAAGGTTGTATATTGTTTCCATTCTCAACCTGATCTTCTATGCCCCATAATTCTAGGGCATCAGTGATTTGCAAGTCACTGAATACCATGGCCTTTTTAAGGCATCGTGCTTGGCCATTCAGCAGCATCGTACCCTGCTGGCCACTCCTCTTTCTTGAAACACTTTTCTCTTGGATTAAGTAACCCAGAGTCTTCTGGTTTTTCTCCTACTCTCTGGCTACTGCTTCTCTGTCTTTGTAGATTCATTTCCTTACCTCTATGTAATGTTAGCATTATTCAAGGCTGGGCCCTAGGTCTGCTTTTCTTACTTCACTCTCTCCCACTAAAGTGACAGAATGGCCATGACTACAATGGCCACCTAAAAGGAGATGAATTCCAAATCCACTCATCCATTTCCCACCTGCCATTCACCCCTCACTGTAACAGGGTTTCTGTCTCTTTTAGGTCATCAGTCTCAATAGTTCACTAATGACCTCACGACTCCCAAATCCAATGAACACTTCCATTTCTTAACCTCTCTGTGACATGGGACATCATCAGCCATTCTCCTTCTTGAAATTTTCCCTTCCCTTAGGACTTTCACCCAGTTGAGAATCATTCACTTTCAATCATTTTTGGTGGCTCTTGTACCTGCCTCTTGGGCTACCTGTTTCTAAAAGCTGCGCAAACATAAAGTGGTGATTTAGTAAGTAAAGGCGAACAGATGACATGTTAGGAAGGGCTAGCAGGATGAATGAAAATCAGGCAAAAGCTCAAGGATGCTGTCTAAACATTTTGTTTTTATGAGACCAGAACAGTTGACGTAGTATGGATATTTGTCCCCACCCAAATCTCATGGAAATATAATGCCCAGTGTTGGAGGTGGGGCCTGGTGGGGTGTTTGGGTTATGGGGCGGATCCCTCATGGCTTAGTGCTGTCCTCTCCATAGTGAGTTCTTACATATCTGGTTGTTGTAAAGTGTGGCACCTCCTCCCCACACTCACTTGCTCACTCTTTGATATGAGATGCCTGCCCCTGCTTCAACTTCTGCCATGGGTAAAAGCTCCCTGAGGCCTCCCAGAATCTTAGCGATGTCAGATGCCATGCTTATACAGCTTGCAGAACTGTGGGCCAACTAAACCTCTTTTCTTATAAACAACCCAGTCTTAGGTATTTCTTTATAGCTAGCAATGCAATAAGGCCCAATACAGGAATGAACTATGAACTGATTATTCCCTGGACAAAACAAAGGCATGCTAGTGAAGGCAGAAACTAATACTATTCATCCCCTTTCAATACTTCTAAGAGGTTAATTCAGCATCAAAAAATTAATTTCTCAAAACTCATAGCTATTTAGTAAAGTGACTTACCACACTTAGCTTCATACTTGGATGCTGTTACTATTTATCAACATCACAACAAAACAAGCTGAGACTAAAAGTTGCCATCTAACAACAACAGACATTGGTTCAGTTTCCCTCCTGGAGAGGGTATGTGCTCAGATCACGAGACCTGAGATAAAACAACCTAGATTGTCAAGAATCCAACAAGGACTACATCTTACCTCTTAATAGAAAAAATGCTGAAGGAAGACAAAATGAGATGTTTACAAATATTCCTCATGCTAATCTCATAAAAGCAAATAAAAAACTAAAACTAATCCTAAAACTTTAGGACATTGGATACAGAAGTAACATGACTATTTAAATGTTTGCATCAATGAAAGTTTGTTCTATCCTTCTCTGTACTTGTGCTACAAGAACACGCTTGTGACTTCTACACTACCCAGAGTCAACAGTTATCATCAGCAATTCAGTATAACTAGAGGGGAACAAGGCTTCAAAGCGACTCTGCTCCACCAAAATTCAGAAATTCAATTCAGGATGAACGGCAGCTTTTGATTTTAGGACCAGCTCTTACTTTTCTCTCATGTCATACGTGACAAACTCCTCATTTGACATTTCCCCCTGCAAATTGTAATGTATGTCCTCGCTATTAGCTTTTTCTGAGACTTTAAGGTTGAATTTTGGAAACTGCAAAAAAATGAAATTGTACTTCCAATTCTGAACCTCTGATTGGATTCCTGCTTTGATGCAAAACTTACTCCTCAACTGCGTACTCCTCTCCTTTTTTTCTTTTATTTTTTAGAGATGGAGTCTCACTCTGTTGCCCAGGCTGGAGTGCAGTGGCAGAATTATGGATCACCGCAACCTCCACCTCCTGAGTTCAAGCAATTCTCCTGCCTCAGTCTCCCGAGTAGCTGGGACTACAGGCACCTGCCACCATGCCTGGCTAATTTTTGAATTTTTTTTTTTTGAAGGCTGAGCATTCTGTTTAATATCTCTAATAATCCTTAAAAATCAGCACACAAATCCATTCCAGGTAGCTTTGCCTCCCCACCTGCTGTGGTGGCATTTGTCCAGATGCCACCACCCACCTAAGAGTGGGTCATCCTAGGGGAGCAAGGCCTGAGAAAGAAAAGGAAGGGAAAGGTCCCCTAGTGCCTGCCCCACAGCCCTGGGACAGGCGCATATTTAGCCTGGCCTGAGACAGGGCAGGAAGAGGCCACAGGGCTGAATGCAGGGACAAAGGAGCCAGGGTCCCAAGTGTCTGGGCCCCCAGCTGCCCACCCCATGTCTGTTTTTGGTTTTCTCATTAAAAAAATAAAGTGACAAATACTGGTGGAGACCAGTTGTCGCACCGTCTTCTGTTAAGAATACGGACCAAAGGTATGGAGAGTCTCCTCTTCAGCTGGTCCTGCTTCACAGGATGTCTGCCCGCTTGTCCCGCACACGGCTTCGAGCCTTCGTCCGGGCTTTGAAGGTGGCGGCATTGTACAGGTGCTTCTCGAAGCGTGGAACCTTGCAGGCCTTCAGGGCAGCAGCATCCAGCACCAGCACAGGGCCCAGCCCAAAGATGTCACGGAGTAGCTCATTGTTCTCCACGGAGTGCAGCACGGCGCAGAAAGTAGAGCGCTGGCGCCGGCGATCGGCCTTGGCACGGTACTTGTTGCTGTCAGTGGCCAGAGTGCGCAGGGCACTGCAGAGGGCCTCCATGTCCTTGTAAACAAACTCCTCCTCAAGGTCCCGGGCAAGCTCAAAGAGCAGGGCAATGGTTTCACCGGCAGCAATCCGCAGGTTCACACTTTCACTGGACAAGAGCTGGGGCAGCCGGGGCAGCTGCCTGTCAAGGATGTGGCTGAAGTGGGTGCTGGGGCAGATGGTGAGCAGTAATGCCCAGGCCTGCAGGGCAGCACAGAGTAGGCCGTGCAGGCTGGCAGGGACCACAGGAGTTGCAGAGCTACCCAAGCCATAGAACTGGCTGAAAACACTTTCTAAGCAGGCAAGGCAAGAGACCAGGTCCTGGATGTCGGCGGCAGCCACGCAGCAGCCCAGGCCAAGAGCAGAAGAAGCGCAGTGGAGCTGGGCAGCAGGGCTAGCTGTGCTGTCACTGAGCACAGAGACCAGCAGGGGCTGCAGGCTGTGGAACAGCTCCTCACCCTTGGGTCCAGGGCCCAGCTGCACGCAGAGCAGGCCTAGCACAGGAGCCGCCAGGGCCTGTTCCTCACCCTTCCCTTTCTTGAGGCACTTTTCCAGGGCATCGGCTAGTGTGAGGCGGCACTCCAGCAAGAAGTCGGGGAGTAGGCGGGACGCCAGGGCCAGGCGCAGGCTCTCAAGAGCACCCTGCCGGGTCTTGGCACTCTTGTCTATGAGGCAGTCCACATACTCCTTCAGCTTTTCCTCAAGGTCTTCTTGCTGGCTCTGCTCATCCACGACATCCCCCCCAAGGCTGTCCTCTGCAGTGGTGCTGAGAAGGCTGGGGCATTCACTGGCGGTGCTGTGGGCCTCACTGGCTGCCTCATCCTCACTGGAACCTGAGTCAGCTTGGGCACTGCTCTGGGCACCTCCTCCACGGCGCTGACCACCCTTTCGGAGCGTGTTGCCCTTACGGGAGCGAGGCATGCTGGGAACCCGGCACGGGGGGCGCCCAGGGGGCGCGGGGTCAGGGACCCGGTGGGTGTGGGCTCCAGGCCAGCGATAAGCCGGCCGGTGCGCTGCGCTGAGACTTGGTCAGACGACCTAATTTTTGAGTTTTTAGTAGAGACAGTTTCACCATGTTGGCCAGGCTGGTTTCAAACTCCTGACCTCAGGTGATCCACCCACCTCGGCCTCCCAAAGTGCTGTGATTACGGGTGTGAGCTATCACACCCATCCTCTCCCTTTCTATGGGTAATACCACTTTCCTGCTTTCTTTTTACTGCTGAATTTTCAGACTTGTCATCAGGGCACCGGAATCGACCTCGGTTTCGAGCTCCTGGATGGGAACGCTGCGTCCCTGGATGATCCTGAAGTACAACAGAATATGTTACTTTTACAACAATGTCACCAAACTTTTACTTGGGATTTTCAGGTCATAACATATATTAATATACACTAAAGCCCAGTCATTGAAGGCGTGGTAAGTGAAAACTTGACCACTTCCTCTTTCCATCTCCAAAGAAAAGCAACCATTTAGTAATCATTATTTTATAAGCCTGCTATCACTTCCTATTTTTTGGAGGCATGGTCTCATTGTATCATCCAGGCTGAAGTGCCAGTGGCAAGATTGCAGCTCACTGCAGCCTCAATAATTCCAGACTCAAGCGATCCTCCCACCTCAGTGCCTTAGCAGCTGGGATTGCAGACACGCTCCACCATACTGGGCTACGTTTTAAATTTTTTAATAGAGATGCGGTCTCCCTCTGCTATCCAGGATGGTCTTGAATTCCTGAAGTTAAGCCGTCCTCCTGCCTTGGCCTCCCAAATGCTAGGATTACCTGCATGAGGCATCACGCTTGGCTCATTCTTTTTTTTTTTTTTTCTTGAGACAAAATTTTGCTCTTGTTGCCCAGGCTAGAGTGCAGTTTGCAGTCTCAGCTCACTGCAACCTCTGCCTCTCAAATTCAGGCAATTCTCCTGCCTCAGTCTGCCGAGTACTGGAACTACAGGTGCACCCCAACATGCCCGGCTAATTTTTGTATTTTTATTAGAGATGGGGTTTCACCATGTAGGCCAGATTTGTCTCCAACTGCTGACCTCAAGTGATCCACCCGCCTTGGCCGCCCAAAGTGCTGGAATTACAGGCATGAGCCACTGTGCCTGGCCCATAGTTATCAAGGACATGAAATTATGCCTTATGAGGAAGTGGTCCTTACCCCCCTTGTCTGCAACATAAGAAATGAGAGCAAGGTGGAAAATTAGAAGAAGAAAGGTGGCGCTGGGAAAGGATATCAATTTAAGATGGGTTTTAAAAATCGCTTAGCAGGAGGGAGGGCGCTCCTGTGGTTTTGCCAGTTGATCTGGTTGAGGGATTTTCTCCAGCAACACTTGCAGCTTAGGGGCAGGAGGCTCCCACTCCACCCCGTGCTACTACGACCCTTCTGACATCGTGCATCATGATCTGACTACTGCTACTTGTCTCTTGCCAACACTGAAACATGAGTTCCACAGGCACAGGGACTTATTTGAATCCCTGACCTCCAGGGCTGGACACACAGTCAAGGATCGGTACATGTTTGCTAAATGAATGAGCCAGTGGAAGAAATTTAAGAGGGTGGGGTGGGGAAGTGCAGTTTACCCAGAGCTGGACAGGCAAGGCAAGTAGAAGAAAAGAGGGAGATGCTGACATAGACAGCCTTGAGATGGCTGGCGACAGGCTAGACAAAGAGGCAAGCGGTATCAACTCATGCTTGGTCATTCAGGAACATTGTTTCTCCTCTAACCTCTACTTTGGCTTCCATTTTCACCTGCCTTTTACAGGAAGCCTACACTATTACTTGTCCTTTCTCTTGGATATTCATCCATCTAGAGCTTTCCTTTTGGCTTCTAAACTTACGTTCTCATATTTAAAATGATGCTTCATTAAAACCATTAATCTGTGTATCTCCATTTCTTTCAGAGCTGTATTAGTGAGTTTTCACACCGGTAGAAAGAAATACCTGAGACTACATAATATAGAAAGGGAAGAGGTCTAATTCACTCACAATTCCACATGGCTTGGGAAGCCTCAGGAAATTTACAATCATGGCAGAAGGGGAAGCAGGCACATCTTACATGGCAGCAGACCAGAGGTCAAGTGTGAGCATAGGAAAAACTGCCTTGTATAAAACGATCAGATCTGAGACTCTTTCACTATCATGAAATCAGCATGTGGGAAACTGCCTCCATAATCAAATCACCTCCCACCAAGTTCCTCCCTTGACAAATGAGGATTACAATTCAAAATGAGATGTGGGTGGGGGCACAGAGCCCAATCGTATCAACAACCATATGAGAAGTCTTCAAAAAGTTATTATCAAGAAACTATGCATAGATTGCAAAATCTTTTGGTACCAAAAGAAACTGTTACTAACTCGTTAAAAAATACATCAACAGGATCCAGTCTGAGGTATGAAAAGGAGAAATCATCACTTTTTAAAAAGCCAGTATCAGAGCAAACTGAATTCTGCTAAAACTGAAGGAAGAACAAACATTAAGGTGATGTTTGGGTGGAAGAATGGTAAAATCACTGATGCTTTACCAAATGTTTATGGGGACAATGCCCCTAAATAAATCAGCAGTTTACATATGAAAAACTTGTAAGAAGGGACAAGATGATGTTGAAGATGAAGCCTGCAGCAGCAGGTCATTCGCATCAATTTGTAAGGAAAAAAATGAATCCTCTTTGTTCTCTAACTGAAACGCATTGGCCAGACATGGTGGTTCGCCCCTGTAATCCCAGCACTCTGGGAGGCCAAGTCGGGCGGATCACCTGTGGTCAGAAGTTCGAGATCAGTCTGGCCAACGTGGTGAAACCCCACATCTAATAAATATATACAAATTATCTGGGGGGTGGGGTGGGTGGCAGGTGCCTCTAATCCCAACTACTCTGGAGGCTGAGGCAGGAGAATTATTGAACCCAGAGGTGGAGGTTGCAGTGAGGCAAGATCATGCTACTGGCCTCCAACCTCTGTGAAAGAGTGAGACTCTGTCTCAAAAAAAGAAAAGGACCAACAATTAACAGCAGAAACAACAGCCAACACCATAGACATCCCAATTGTTTCAGCTTACACAATTCTGACTGAAAAATTAAAAGTTGAGCAAACTTTCCACTTGATGGGTGCCAAAACCAGATCAACTGCAGAAGAGAGCAGAGCTTTCGATGGAAATTTTAAACAAGTGGGATCTATTAGGTTGCTGCATATTAATTGCTGTTTATGCCATGGAATGTCAAAAGCCACAATTACGTTGGTACCAACCAATAGATCATAAAGCAGCAATCTGGAAAGCGTAACAGGAGGTGATACATGGCTTTCCCAGTATGACTCTGAAGGCAAAGTATAATCAGAGTAATGGCTCCAAAGAGGTAGAAGCGGTCCAGTCAAAGCAAAGTGGACTGGCCAAGAGCAAAGGCCATGGCAATAGTTTTTTCAGCTGCTTGAGGAACTTCCCTTGTTGACTTTCTGGAGGGTGGAAGAATAATCACACCTGCTTATTATGAGTGTTTTGAGAAAGCCAAAGCGTTAGCAGCAAAATGCCCAGGAAAGCTTCACCAGAGAGGCCTTTTCTACTTCAGCAAAGCTTCTGCTCATGCGTCTCATCAAACAAGTGCAATTTTGAGAGTTTCAATGGGAAACCATTAGGCATCTACCTTACAGTAGGAATTTAGCTCCTTCTGACACCTTTTTGTTTTCTAGTCTTAAAAAGTCTGTAAAGGGCACCCATTTCTCTTCAACTGATAATGTAAGAAAGAGTGCATTGATGTGGTTAAATTCCCAGGACCTCCACTTCTTTGGGGATGGATGAAATGGTTAGTATCCAATTGTGAGCAAGAGACAAAAATAAATAAATAAATGGCCAGTATTGTTGCTGACGAAAGTGTCTTGACCTTGGTGGAGCTTATGATGAGAAATTTATATTTTTTCCTTTTAGTTCTATTTTCTACAAACTTTCCTTTTTTTCTGTTTCTTTTCTTTTTTCAGATGGAGTCTGGCTCTGTCACCCAGGCAGAAGTGCAGTGGTGCGATTTCGGCTTACTGCAACCTCCGCCTTCTGGGTTCTAGCAATTCTCCTGCCTCAGCCTCCTGAGTAGTTGGGATTACAGGCCCCTGCCACTGGGCCTGGCTAATTTTTGTATTTTTAGTAGAGACGGGGTTTTGCCATGTTAGCAAGGCTGGTCTCGGACCCCTGATCTCAAGTGAAACATCTGCCTTGGCCTCCCAAAGTGCTAGGACAACAGGCGTGTGAGTGACACCACGCTTGGCCTTTCTTTGGGGGGGTTGGGGGTTTGGAGTCTTATTCTGTCACCTAGGCAGGAGTGTAGTGGCGTGATCTCGGCTCACTGCAACCTCCACCTCACGGGTTCAAGTGATTCTGCTGCCTGAGCCTCCGGAGAACTCTGGACTACAGGTGCATGCCACCATGCCTGGCTAAATTTTTTGTTTTTGTATTTTTTGGTAGAGATGGGGTTTCGCCATGTTGGCCAGACTGGTCTTGAACTCCTGACCTCAGGTGATCCACCCACCTCAGCCTCCCAAAGTGTTGGGATTACAGGTGGAAGCCACCATGCCTGGCCTATGTTCTTTTAAAAATCCATTTGTGGTAGGACACGGTAGCTCAGGAAGGACTGGCAGGATGAATGAAAATCAGGCAAAAGCTCGAGGATGTTGTCTAAACATTTTGTTCTTACAGAACAAGAAGAGTTGATGTGGTTTGGATACTTGTCCCCACCCAAATCTCAAGGCCATATAATGCCCAGTGTTGGAGGTGGGGCCTGGTGGGGTGTTTGGGTTATGGGGCAGATCCCTCATGGCTTCGTGCTGTCCTCTCCATACTGAGTTGTTACAGATCTGGTTGTTGTATGGCACCTCCTCCCCACACTCACTCTCTTGCTTACTCTGTGATGTGAGATGCCTGCCCCGGCTTCACATTCTGCTATGAGTAACAGTTCCCAGAGGCCTCTCAGAAGATGAGCAATGTCAGATATCTTCCTTGTATAACCTGCAGAACTGTGAGCTAATTAAACCTCTTTTCTTATATATTACCCAGTCTCAGGTATTTCCTTACAGCAATGCAAGAACGGCCTAATATAGGAGTGAACCATGAACTGATCATTCCCTGGTGGACAAAACAAAGCCATGCTAGTGAAGGCAGAAACTAACATCATTCATCCCCTATCAATACTTTCAAGAGGTTAATTCAGTGTCAAAAAGTTAATTTCTCCAAACTCACAGCTATTTAGTAAAGTAACTCACTAGACTTAGCTTCATACTTGAATGCTTTTGTTATTTATAGACATCAAAACAAAACAAGCTGAGACTAAAAGATGCTATTTAACAACAGCAGACATTGGTACAGTTTCCTTCCTGGAGAGGGTATGTGCTCAGATCATGAGACCTGAGATAAACTGGATTGTCAAGAGTAAAATAAGGACGACATTTTACCTCTTAATAGAAAAAATGCTGAAGGCAAAATTAGATGTTTTACAATATTTTTATGCTGAGCTATGTAAGCAAACAAAAGACTAACACTAATCCTAAAGCTTTAGGACATTGGATATAGAAGTAACATGACTACTTAAATGTTTGTATCAGCCGGGCAAGGTGGCTCACACCTGTAATTGCAGCACTTTGGGAGGCCAAGGCGGGCGGATCACTTAAAGTCAGGAGTTCCAGACCAGGCTGTCCAACATGGTGAAACCCCGTCTCTACTAAAAATATAAAAATTAGCCGGGCATGGTGGCAGGTGCCTGTAATTCCAGCTATACGGAAGACTGAGACAGGAGATCGCTTGAACCCAGGAGTCAGAGGTTGCAGGGAGCCAAGATTGCGCCACTGCACTCCAGACTGAGTGATAAGAGTAAAACTCTGTCTCAATATATAAATGAATAAACGCATGAATTAACAAAAATGTGTTCTATCCTTCACTGTACTTGTACTACAAGGACATGCTTGTTGCTTCTACACTACACAAAGTCAACAGTTATCACCAACAATGCAATAGAACTAGACTGGAACAAGGCTTCAAAGCGACTCTGCTCCACCCAAATTAAGAAAATTCAATTCAGGATGAACAACAGCTTTTGATTTAGAACCAACTCTTACCTTTCTCTTGTCATACATGAAGTCCTCACTTGACATTTCCCCCTGCAAATTGCAATGCATGTCCTCACTATCAGCTTTTTCTGACACTTTACAATTAATTTATAAAAATTGCAGAAACAGTAAGATTGTACTTCCAATTTTGAACCTCCGATCAGATTCCTGTTTTGACACAAAACTTACTCCTCTGCTGTGTACTCCACCAGCACAGTGACCCTCTTTCTATTCTTTTGCCCTCTGGATTCCTTTACATGGGCTCTTTGGCTGCCTAGACAGTCAGGACACCTAAGGCCATCTGGAATTATCACTCCTCTCCTCCTTCTTTTCTATGGCTAATACCACTTTCCTGCTTTCTTTCTACTGCTGAATATTCAGAATCAATGGTGTCATCAGGAAACCAGAGTAGACCTTGGCTTCGAGCTGCTGGATGGCAAAGCTGCATCCCTGGACGATCGTGAAGGACAACGAAACATGTTACTTACAACAATGCTACTAAGCTTTTACATGGGATTTTCTGAGTTGTAAATTATGTATTAATATATACTAAAGCCGAGTCATTTGAGACCAAATATATGCCTGGTTAAATTTCTTTTTTTTTTTTTGGAGACAGGGTCTCACTGTGTCAGCCAGGCTGCAGTGCAAGTGGCATGATCCAGCCTTGGCATTCCAGACTCAAGCAATCTTCCCTTCTCAGCTCCCTAGTAGCTGGGATTGCAGACCTGTGCTGCCACACTGGGCTAAGTTTAAAAATTTTAGCAGAGATGGGGTCACCCTATGTTGCCCAGGCTGTTTTCAAACTCTTAAAGCTAAGTGATCCTCCTGCCTTGACCTCCCAAATGCTAGGGTTATCTGCAGGAGCCATCACACCGGCCCATTTTGTTTTTGTTGTTGTTTTGTCTGAAACAGAGTCTTGCTCTGTTGCCCAAACTGGAGTACAGTGGTGTGATCTCAGCTCACTGTAACTTCTGCCATTCTGGTTCAAGTGCTTCTCCTGCCTCAGCCTGCCAAGTAGCTGGGACTACAGGCGTGCACCACCACGCCCAGCCAATTTTTGTATTTTTAGTAGAGACAGTGTTTTACCATGTTTTCAGGCTGATCTCAAACTCCTGACCTCAAGTGATCTGCTCACATTGGCCTCCCAAATAGCTGGGACTATAGACATGAGCCACCAAGACATGAGCCCCAGGCTTGTCTTGAACTCCTGGCCTCAAAGTGATCCTCCCACCTTGGCTTCCCAAAGTGCTACAGCATAAGCCACCACGCCTGGCCTATATTTATTAAGGACATGAAATTGT